ATATATATATATATATATATATATATATATATATATATATATATATATATATATATATATGTTTTGTGAGGATTTCTTTATCATAGACATAGAATGTTTCATGTTCAGTACAAAAATTGTCTAGTTATTGATGATATGTATGTATAAATCAGTTTATCATCTAAAACCTGCCAAGTATCCAGTGTCATTCAGTATCTGAACATTCATAACCACTTAGGTATTAATTTTTCTATGAAAGTATTACAAATAATTTAAAACAATTTTAAAAATATTAAAATAATAAAAGCAAAATAAGTACAAACAACAGTCATGATGATTAATCAACTAACTAAAGTCAAGTAGCTGGGCCCTTAACACATTCTGAGCCCCAGAACAGATACATAGCTTAAGTTTTTAATTTTTTGTGAAAAGCCAACAGGTTGGGGCCATTCTAATCTCCAAGGGGAAAATATTCCGTAAGGCAGGGGCTACAGCAGCAAAAGTCCATCTTCAGCCTGACACTCTTTGGCTGACGGGATCTTCAGCATGACCAATCTAATGGATGGAATTGGACAAATAGGGACTCCTGGAAAAACTCTGGGAAAAAGAGGGTTTTTTAATATATTCTAGTGGTTTGCCCTGTCACTGTTGGTGGGATACAAATAAAAATACACACACACACGTGTGTGTGTTTGTGTGAATGATAGAATATAAAATGAGAGCAAACCCCACCTAGCTGGATAACGAAGTTCAGAGAGCACCAAGGACCCCTCGTTGTTGGACATGTCTTACTACATGCATCAAATGGAATAGGATATGTGATGGTCATCTTAGTTATAAGCACTAATAGTTACATGAAATGATTCTTCTTTTCTTGTAGCATTTATAGCACTATAATATAAATTTTAAGCTACAAAAATGTCCCAAGGGAGGATTCATTATTAAAAGTTCTTGCTTTCTAAAAATAATATATAATAACTGTTAATAAAGGAACAAAATTAGATTGAGGCAATGGGGTTGGAGAATGACCCTGAAGCTTTTTTTTTGACCAAGTACTTGACACATTGCATATTGGATTTTATCCAAAAAGAGAGCTTGAAAGAAAACATCATCTCATTTTCTCTTTCTATCCAATCCAATAGGGATGGGGAAGGCAATTCCAAAACAGTTATCAGTGTCTTAGAAATTTAGCTAGAAATTTCCAAAGGAAAATTATATATTCTAGAAATTTGCCCAATCTTCATTGTACTACTACAGAGGTCACTTGGAGCTATGTAAGTTATCCAAATGAATACTGGCCTAATAATATCTGCATTGTTTAGAGTTATATAAATTAGCCAAATTACAATTCATATTCATGATCCAATTTCAATTTCTGAATTAAATCCATAAGTCAATTCAATTCAGAAGGTGAGTACAATTCAGCAGTTTTTTTGTTTGCCCAATCTGATTAGATCAATAATCCAAAGCCACTCAACAAATTGATTTGACAAAGTGAATCAATATGGAGATCTTGCAAGTCTGATTCAGACTGAATTTAAGAATTGAATCTTTCTATAACACTAGTATTTATTACAATGTAATATAGAAGTTAAATATTGTTCCAGCAATATCCCCCCAAAACTTTATTAATATTTTATACTCCCTCATAAGGCCTACAAAGACTGCTTGTATATTTTATCTTAAAACTGCCCACAATTTCAGGGGTTTTTTCTTCTATATTTGTATTAATATATTTCCTAATCTATAGATTTCAAAATGCAGATACATAGTGACTTTTTTTAGTTTGTCTAAGAAAGATCTTTGTCTCAATATAGATTTCAAATTACAAAATTATTCTAGATTTTCTAGATTACACCATACCAGTACATAAGAGAATATGTATTTGAGAATTTGTATTATGATATTTCCTAATCCATACATCTCAAAATGCAGATATATAGTAACTTTTTTTAGTTTGTCTAAGAAAGATCGTTATCCTAATAAAGATTTCAAATTACAAAATTATTCCTATAGATTTCCTGGACAAAGGAGAAGCTGATGGAGGAGTTTCCTATATTTGTAGATTTTCTAGATTACACCATACCTATAGATAAGAGAATATATAGATATGTCCCTAGCCAGAAGGTTCTTCTTTTGACACTGGAAGAATATTATGTGAGAATGCAAAAAAAAGAGTCAGAGGTAATTTTTGAAATTCTGTTTAATATTGGTGTATTATAATTGCTATGTGATGTGAGCCAATAGTGTATACATGTATCTCTTAGGTCTAGATTTCCTTCATAAAAACTCTTATGATACTGGACAACTTGCTTTCCTTTAGTTTTCTCCTATGCACAAATAGCAGGACACAGATAAGTGAATCTGAGCAGTTAAGTTCTGTAGGTAAAATAAAAAATGACACATGGGTTTATCATAAATTCCTTCTCAAACTGCAAGTCCCAGCTATATTCAAGAATGATGAAATAACAAGGAACATTAGAATGACAAATTCAGAATCGATAATAAGTAGTTTCTTCCATCTCTTAGTTCAATATCATCAATATGCAAATAACACTCAGTTTGATTTTGTAACTCTGTTGGTCTGTTCTGGAGATGCTGTTGAAGCTTCGTTCCATGTCAAGGCTGTAAGGTTCTGGATGTGATGAAATAAGTTAAAACTTGGTTGGTTGCTGCTTAGAATCAATTTATGATTGAAGTGTCATATATACCTGAATGATAAATTAACAAAATTGAACCCAAACAAAGTGCTGTTTGTTCCCCATAGTTCTTTTTCAGCTCTAATCCTGTGTCTTAGGGGTTGTGGGAAAGGTATTGTCCTAAAGGAGCAGATGCTTGACTTGAGGACCCTTACAGCTGCTGCTGGCAGTATAAGTGAGGACTGGGGCTGGAAGGACCTTTGCTCAGCTATGCCTGGTACCTCCGTTGCCAGCTTACCTAGAACAGGAGGATCTGGTTACAGTGGCTCATATCTTTATTGCCAGTTGGTTGCACTTCTGCAATATGTTCAATATGAAAAGTATCTGAAGATCACTTGGTTGGAGCAGACAGCTTAATTGCTAAGCCAGATAGGATTTTAAAAGACATAGTGCTTTGAATTGCATACAGAAAGTTACTGATAGTCAGTGCAAGGTCCATAATATATGTGTAATATGCCAGAGGTCACCAACCTTTCTCGGTTGGCGGACTGGAGGAAAAGGAAGGGGGAAGCATTTTACATGCGTGCATGCATGCACATGTGCATGGGGCCACGAGCACGCGTGCACCAAAAATGGGCGGGGCTAGTACCCGTGTGATACTAACCCTGCCCTGTTCTTGCGTGGTGCAGTGCCTCATTTCTGCGCCCCGTGGCACGGCAGCAATCCATTTTTGCAATCCGAGGCATGGCAGTGGCCCGTTTTTGTGCCCTGTGGTGCAGCGGTGGCCATTTTTGTGCCCCGCAGCACGACAGTGGATGTTTTTGCACCTTGCAGCACAGCGGCGGCCCATTTTTATGCCCTGCGGCATGGCAGCAGCCCATTTTCGCACCCCGAGGCACAGCAGCATCTTGTTTTTGCGGCCTGCAGTCAAGGCACTAGTGCGAGTGAGGGGGTGTGCACGCACACATGCACACACTGGCCAGACACTATCGGGTCATAGCCCACAGGTTGAGGACCCCTGTAATATGCTAATGGTGACACCATCAGTCAATGTGGGCACTGCAAACTGCTTTGTCTTATAAAATTGTATCTGGCTTAGAAACCAAACTGCCTGCTCCAACCAGGTTGACCCATTTGAAGCAATACTTTTTGGAAAAGCTATTGGTAGTATCCCATTTTCATGAGGTGAGGCTGGCTGGAACCAGGAAATAGTTTTTTAAGTTATGGTGCCAATGCTTCAGAACCACCTAGTCTGGAAATAAGATTAGTCCTTTTAGTTGTAGTCTTGTCTGGAAGCTGGAAAGCTGATGAAAATACAACTCTTCTAGAGAGCTTTCATTGACTGCTATAATAACAATCTGTATTTATTTTTCTCCATGTATTTTATTTTGTTTGTAGGATGGTTGTTCCATTTCGGGCTATATTTATTGTAGATGTAGATGTTTCTGTTTTCTTATACTATGGCTTACTTTTTTAAACTCCTCAAATCTGCGAAGATTGAGCAGTATACAAATCAATAAAGAAATAACTGGAGTGATTTTTATGATGCAGTTGTTCAATATTTCCTATTTCAAATTTCTATCTGAAAGATTAATTGCTTATTTTTCTTCTGCATATGCAGCTAAGAGAATCCTCATTCACAAAGATTGAGGATTGTTCCTTTTTCAAGCACATCTTCTTCATCCTATTGTGGTTTTGTTAAAAATAGAGGAAGAAAAACAATTGTCCTTATAGCTCATTTCTGTTATAATTTTTCTAGCTCCTGTCCTTTTCCAAGTTTCATTGAATTGTTCCATTAAAAGTTTTATGTGGAATACCATTCAGTTTTTGGTAGTTTTTGTAATGAAGCACAGTTACAGATGCATAAAGAGGGAATGGGATCTCTATATCTTCCAACCACAATTTCTGTGCCCTGCCCCAACTCTTGTGGGAGAGCCTTCTTGCTGCATTAGTTTACTTGAGAAGGGAAAGAGGCAAACCTCCTGCCTTTGACTTACCTTTTCTGTTGCTTAGTCAGGTTGCTGGGGCATATAATAAAGGCTCAATTCTTTGTCAGAATGAGAGGATTGATTAAATTAGAAAAGGAGGGCTTTGGTATATATTCTTAGGTTAAGGAACCAGATAGGAGTTGGAAACCCCGAAGAGAAAGGAAAGCTAAAAGAAAATACCAATTGAATTTGCAAAGTTTATCTCAGTGGATGCTTTGCCATCCAGGAACACATATAGATAAAAAATGACAAGACCAGGTACTTACTATCATATCTGGTGGACATGCCCAAAAGCAAAAAGATTTTGAGTAAAAATACATTTATGGTTGGAGAAAATGACTAAAAAACAAATAGACTTTAAGTCAGAATTATTTGTGTTAGGAATAATAGGAGCAAATTATGAGAAAGATTGTATATATTTAATTCTACACGTACTAACTGCAGCAAGAATTGTATTTGCCCAACATTGGAAAAATGAAAATTTACCAACTGAAGAAGTATTAATTTAAAAGAATTTAGAGTGTGCAGAAATGGACAGATTGACTTTAAAGATAAAAGAGAAAGAAGACTCAGTATATTTTAGAACATGGGATAATATATATTAGTAAGAAGAAGACTATTGAGCGATTAATTAACATATTGTTTATGATAATTAACTATTATCTATTATTTCTTGTTAAACACATGAACCCAGACATTATGCTGTTTGCTAAATATTGAGAATGTTATTTGGAAAAACCCTAGCCCCAACCCCAATCTTAACCCTAACCCAAATCCCAATCCCACCTCATTCCAAAACCTATAAAAACTAATAAAATTTATATCCAAAAAAAAGACAAGATCAAGAATGGGACCAAGAATGAGAAAGACAAACAACACACATCCATGAAATAATACAAAAATTCTAACTCACATCAAGCTTGCACAATTTGTATGTGATCAAAACTTTTCTAAATCATCAATTACAGATCTCTGGGAAATGAGATTATCGGGCTTTGAACCAATCCAGAAAATGTTCCAGCTACTCCTTTGAGAGAGAAAAAACAGTTAAAATGAGCTGACTGTTCTCTGTTTTAAAAGCTTACCTGAGAGAGGAATAGTCTTGGTTCTGAATGTCCCTTTAGCATTAGTTTTCCCAGACTCTGTTTATGCCAGCTCCCAAGATAAAGGGGTTAGTTTTTGCTTTTCCTTGAACTCTTTCATGTCTGAATGGCATTTTGGAAGGAGGTTTCCCTCTATTCACTATATTTGTGCTTTCTGTTTCCTTAGATCACCATGGTATTTTTCAAAGAAACAATACAGCATGTAATTAGAGCTGCAAGGGTTTTTCGCCAACAAGATAGTCATATGACACTGGTAAGAAAGTTTACTTTTAATTGGACATATTATATAAGATGTCAGTGCTATGTCTCTATTTAAAAGTAGCACACCTTAATTCAAGGAAATTTTAAATACTAAATGTCATTAAAACACCTGTCACTAAATCATAATTATTATTATCCTCCATTCTGAAAATTATATAAACATTTTAATACATGAAGATTTGCTTTAGTAAATCATTTTTTGCTTATCTGATGTTTATCTAACATTTTTAATATTTATTAACAGATTGGGTGGAATGGCAATGGAAAAGCAACCTGTGCATCCTTAGCCTGTTATATATCTGAATGCAGTATCTATAGATTATCTACTTTCTATAGTTACAGCTTTGCACATTTTCAAGAGGATATTAAAAAAGTCTATAAACAAGCTGGAGCAGAAGGCAAGAGGACTGTTCTTCTCATTACAGATTCAGATATAATTCAAGTAAGTCTATAGAATATAAATTAATATACATATTAAATGTGTATCATGTTAATTAAATGCTTGTTAGAATTTTCCATCTCTATTTTTCCCTTCTTTCTTAATCAATATATCTGGATTGTCATCAGAAGTTTGTTTGCATTTTCGCTAGTCTGCTAATACGTTATTAGAATAGGAATTATTAAACAATTGTCACAAAATAACTTTAACTCTATAGCTGGAGCTCCAGTGAAAGTGTCTGTAAAAAACTGTCATTTTGTCAAAATGACAAAATCTAGATTGCTCCAACCCAAGGTTATGGAGATAATTAATTAGTATTATTTTTCTTAGGAATCATTTTTGGAAGTCCTAAGTTGTATTCTGAAATCAGGACAAGTGCCCAACCTATTTGAGAAGGATGAGTTGAATAACATTATGGAATCACTTACATCAGTTTCTGAAATGACTAAGGATTCCAACAAAATGGATGATATGTATTCTTTTTTCTTACAGGTATGTACAGGTAGCTTACTGTGATCAATATGCTCTCTCAGTGAAATTGCTGTATCCATTCCAATTTGGGTTCCAGATTAACAGCAGGATTCAGGGTTGTGCTCATTGAATTTAATTGTCCTATTATTAATAGATAAATCAAGCAAGGAATGTAACAAGCTGTTATTTATATCTTTGAATACATCCATATGTGTTTGACCCCTGCCCATTGATGCTTATGAAGGCAGAGTAAGAGGTTTGATTTAATGAATGATAAAATTTTGATTATCTCAACCAAGGATGCTTTTGTACCATCTAGTCTGAAAGAAGCCCGAGTTAAAAATGATCATTACATCTCACCTTAGTGTTGGAAGCTGAACTAGTGAATTGCGTGAATCCATGTTACTTGCATAATTGTACAAAGTAGCTCATATAGGGAAACAACCTGTCTTTTGGATTTGGGCGCAAATATTATCTAACTATTATTTAAATATCTACTATATAATTTGCAATGCGATTCTTACTTCAATGAAAATTATTCTTGCAAGTATGTACAATTACAGTCTAATAAATGATAATCTAAATATTAGTGCATGCATATTTTCAAAGAAATAATTATTTTACTAGAGTTTTCACACAGGATTTTTTTTTCTAGAGAGTATGTCAAAACCTTCATATAGTTTTGACAGTAAATCCTGCAGGACTGGTTTTCCGTCAATATTTACAGATATATCCTGCCATTGTGAATTGCTGTACAGTAGACTGGTATGAAAATTGGCCTGAAGAGGCCCTTTGCCATGTAGCAAAAAGTTATTTTAGCCAGAATCAGACATTTAGAAATGAGGTATGATATGAAAATATTTTATCAAAATACAATCTATAATATGTTATTCTTGCTTATGAACTCTGGTCGATCAACTGAAGCTGCTCATGAATTGTGATTACTAATTTTAAAGAGTCTGGGAAAACATTGCAATGAGTTTCAGGGCTCATGGAAAATGTTGGGGAAATCAAAATGCCAGATGCAACCACTGCTTTGCTCTGAGCAAACACAAATTACCAAATCACCATTATACAAAATCTACACAGTTTGGCTCATTTGCTCCTTGTGTGGATTTGGCTGGGTGGAAGATAGCTATAGCAGCAGAAAGCTACTATGCTATGATTAAGTATAGGTTAATGCTCATTCCATTTTCAGCTATACATGTTAGCAGGTAATTTGCAAAAGCATCTTCTATAGGAATTTCATTTTTCTGCTGAAAAATATACTCTACCTCACCAAATAAAGCCATGACTATTACTGTGAATTGTAACAATTCCTAATTTTAGAACAGAGGCACTATATTAGATTTTTCATGAATGAATGTTGATGGTATGCAAAAAAATCTGACAATCCCAAAATATTTCTAAACTGTGAGTTCACACTATAGTAAAAGCATATAAGTAAATCTCATCACAGAGGAATTAGAACTTTTAGACTCAGCACCCTCTCTTCCCCTATGGAGGGAAGAAAAGGAACAACCAAGAAGAGAGAGCCAATACAAACTGATGAGTATGAAAAAGAAATTACTGAGAACATTACAATAAAAACTTCTTAAATTGAAATCTACATTGTATAAAATGTGTGGTCTTTTCATTTGTCTTTATAGAATTTAAGAGATATTCTTATCCCTATGACTGTTAATATTCACAAGAATGCATCTATGATAATTGAGAAATACTTGAAGGAAACTAAAAGACACTATTACATCACTCCCAAAAGTTACTTGCAATTTATAAATACTTTTTCCATAATATTGAGGACCACAAAAGAGGAAATGCTGAGTGAAAGGTAACTATAGACCTGTGGGGGGGGGGGTGTAAGTGTGTAACATCACAATAGAGAAGTTGTCGGGCAGGATACTATTTTATAGAAATATTTTAGGTGGATTAAAACATTTAACAATTCAGTTAGTTCATTAACATCTCAAAGCATTGCAGCAATTCTGTTAAAAGTCAGCTGCAACCAGTGGTGGGATTCAAATATGTGAACAATCAGTTCTCTGTATGGATGCCACTTCCGGAAGTCCATTCTGGGCCTGGGCAACAAAAAATTAGCTACCGGTTCTGCCAAACTGGTGCAAACTGGCTGAATCCCACCACTGGCTGCAACCTATGGGTGGGTTAACATACTCTTCCTGGAAAAATTTTCCATGAATCCTTCTAGAAGCAAATTTGAGCATTTCACTGCCAATAGATTCTTGATAGGGTAAACATTAGTTACAGTGAAATTCATTTATTGTATCATTCGTCCTATGGTTAATGTATATATTATACATTAATCTATGGTTAATGTATAAAATTGTTGAGTTATTGTGTCAAATATAATAGAAGCAATGGACTTAATATCAATAAAATATTTTATAAATTATATATCTATAAAGCATATATCAGATAGTCACAATTCCAGGCACAGTGTTTACCATAGTTTTTCATGATAGACTTCATAAAGTTGGTATGTGTAGCTTTACCAAAAGACTTCTATGCACCTAGCACTTAATGAAAGGTAGTTTGTTTAGGTAGTTGATCTAATTAATATACTATGTGACTATCAGGCTTATAGTATAAGTAGATTTTAACTCTTATTTTTTATTTTAGAGCTTGCTATCATTCTGGTCTGACAAAAATCTTGGATGGAACTTCACAGATTGCAGATATGCAAGATGAATTGCTTGTCCTTGGACCTCAAATAGAGTCAAAATCAAAGGTATATTTAATTCGTAAGTGGTCTTCCCACCACCTAAAAATATTGAATAATTTCTTATCAGGTCTTACCTGAGACTATAGAATTTATAAAAGTTATTGACACAGGTATAACTGTTTTATAAAAGTTACAGCAATATAACTATTATGTACATTTAGTTTGTGGTGCATTAGATACTTTGGAAGAACAAAAAAAAAAAGACTAAAGAAACCTAAGTTGGTGTAAAAGATTCCAAAACATTTGGAATCCATTTATGATAATATATGTAGTGGAATAGCTGATTCCATAATGTAGAAGGCTGAAAATCTCAAACATCTTCTCCCAGAGGGCCTTGTGGCCTTCACATACTGGTTCTGCTCTGTTGCATTGTGTATTAGCTTATCTATTCCTACAGCTATCATCTATCATTTAAGAGTTGCCTTGCATGGCAAATTCTCCCTAGCCACATAATTTAAGAAAGATAGTGATCTCACAATCTGCTACTTTTCTGGTGATAAAAGGTAAAAATCCCAAAAATAAAAGATGTAAAATAATTTTAATAGTGCAACAACCTGGCTGTCAGGGTAGAAGTATGTGACTAAAAGATTCATCCCTTTTCCCCCTCCTTGGGAGACAGACCAAAATTTTATTTATTTGTTTGTTTGTTTGTTTATGATACTTACATAGTTGCCTATCTACCACAGGGATCCCAACCCCCGTCCATGGACTGGTACCGGGCCATGGCATGCCAGCAACCAGGCCGCACAAACAAGCAAATCCCCATCCGTGGGATGCAGGCAGCACACAAATCCACACACTCTCCAGTCCGCAGAAAAACATTTTTCCATGGAACTGGTCCCTGGGGACCTCTGATCTAGTAGAAGGAACTCTGAGTGGTCAACAGAATAACCACACAGAACACTAAAAACATTATTTAAAACAGTTTAAAATGTTGAGGCCTTGAGAAGATTCACATTCAAAATAACCATTCATATCTGTTATAAGTGGCAACTCAAATGAAAGTTTGCTACAAATGGTTTGTTTTTCTCTGTGAGACAGGAGATGTTGCAACTGATATTTCAGACTAGGAGATTATACAACAAATATCCATTGCAGCCTGAATTATTCATAAAAACTGAAACCACCCATAATTCACTAGCACAGGCAGTTGAGGTAATCTAACTTTACATTGTGTGTAGTAACAGAGATTATCTCATTTTCAAGGATGTAGGTTGTATGTCTAAACTACTGGGAATGTATATTTGTATGTGTGAACGTATGGAATATATACATTTACATCAGGATAAAACATATAAAATATGATTTTAAATGAATATACATGATGCCAGCTCTTTGACAAGGACATCGGTGAAACTTCCATTTCACAATTGGAATTATCCAGGGGCATTCACTGAAAAGATGTCAAAAAAGTCAAGATGAAAGTTGTCCCTGTGTTATTGAAGCTTTTCTTTTTGTAACTGCAAGTAGTATCAATATAGATTCAAAAAGGGAGAGAGGCCTTCAATTTCATGGATAAATTACCAATAAAGGAGAATATTTGTAGCTCAGGGTTGATATGAATATGAAATGAAAGTCAAGATGGATAAACTTCTTTTATTTAAAAAAGTATTTAAAGTGCCATCAGTGAAAAAGGAAAAGAAATAAACAGAAAAAACAAATCAAAAATATATAAGCTATATGAAACCAAGTAAGAATTTTCAAAGTAATATTAGATTAATACTGGATATCAAAATGATAAAAGTGTAGAACATGAAAATTGTCATTAAAATCAAATCAGTATTCAATAGGCAGCCAATAAGTTAAAACTCATCAATAGGATTAAATAATTAATAGTTTTTATCTAGTTCATGCAAATCTATTCTTATTATCACAAAGAAAAGAAATCCAACACAGTGCTAGGCTGCATTAACAGAGGGATAAAATCAAGATCACGTGAAGTGTTAATACCACTTTACAATGCCTTGGTAAGGCCACACTTGGAATACTGCATCCAGTTTTGGTCACCATGATGTAAAAAAGATGTTGAGACTCTAGAAAGAGTACAGAGAAGAGCAACAAAGATGATTAGGGGACTGGAGACTAATACATATAAAGAACGGTTGCTGGAATTGGGTATGTCTAGTTTAATGAAGAGAAGGACAACGGGTGACATGATAGCAGTGCTCCAATATCTCAAGGGTTGCCACAAAGAAGAGGGAATCAAGCTATTCTCCAAAGCACCTGAAGGCAGGACAAGAAGCAACGGATGGAAACTAACCAAAGAAAGAAGCAAGATGCTGAAAGCACGGAATTTGGCTTTTAAATCCGGCGATATGCTGGCACTTAGAACAGCCAGAGCTAATTTGAAAAGTGCCATAAAAGGTGCAAAGCAAGCCCGTTGCCAGAAAATTCAGAACTTTTTTCAGGATCCAACAAACACGAGACGCATGTGCTAAGGAATCCAGGCCATTATGGATTATACAGTGGGTCCATCGAGATGCAAGGATGACACAGACTTCCTAAACGAGATGAATACATTTTTTTGAAGATTTGAGGCATCAAATAGCACTCCTGCTAGGAAAACTGTGCCCATTCTGACGAGCAAGTGCTTAGCTTTGATGTCACCTCTGTCCAGAAAACACTGCGGAAAGTTAACATTCGAAGGCAGCTGCCCAGATAATATCCCTGGCATTCACAGATATTTTCAATCTCTGATTGCAGCAGGAAGTGGTCCCATCGTGTTTTAAGATGGCCATCATTTTGCCAGTGCCAAAAAAGTCCACAATTACAGGCCTCAATGATTACTGCCCAATTGCACTGACATCTGTCATTATGAAATGCTTTGAGAAGCTGATAAAGGACATTATTGTATCTAGACTCACGCCAGCATTTGACCTGCTTCAGTTTGCTTACTGACCAAATTGCTCTACAGAGGATGCTGTTTCTTCTGTTCTCCATCTGAGCTTGGAGCACATAGAGGAAAGAAATACTCATGTGTGTTTGTTGTTTGCTGACTTCAGTTCAGCATTTAACACACTCATTCCCCAGCATCTAGTAGACAAACTGGGCCCTTTAGGCTTAAACACTCCTTTGTGCAACTGGATTCTTGATTTTCATACTAACAGGGCCCAGTATGTGCGAGTTGGAACAAATATTTCTAACACCATTTTCTTGAGAACAGGTTCTCCTCAGAGCTGCGTCCTAAGTCTGCTGCTGTTCACCCTGTTGACCCATGACTGTTGTGCTAGGTTTGCCACCAACCATATTGTTAAGATTGCGGATGATATAACAGTAGTGGGCCTTATTCAAAATGACAATGAGGGTGCTTACCGCAAGGAGGTTGAGGGTTTGGTGAACTGGTGTAAGAAAAACAGCCTAGTTTTAAACATTGGAAGAACCAAAGAGATCATTGTCGATTTCAGAAAAGGCAGACACAGACACACTCCTCTGTGCATTAATGATTCACCTGTGGAGATGGTTACCAGCATCAAATTCCTGGGTGTGCAGTTAGCAAGTAGGCTGGTTTGGTTGCTCAACAGTGAGACACTGGTGAAGCGGGCACAGCAGCGCCTGCATTTTCTGTGTCGCATGAAAAAAGCACATCTTCCTTCCCCTGTCCTTACCACTTTCTACAGAGGGACGATCAAGAGCATCCTGTCATACAGGATGGATGGATACATCATTTTATAAATAAGCTATCAAAAATGCACAAAGAAATTTGAAATATTTGTTGGAAATGTAATCAAACTGATGGTATATTTTCTAATCTCTGGTGCACATGCAAGGCTAGAAAATATTGGGGTTAAATATGCGTTCTGATTCAGAAAATTTTAAAAGTGAATGTAGAACTGAAACCAGAGATTTTTCTTTTTGAGTTTAATGGACAAACAAATAGAAACATTTTATGGAATTTGCTTTTATATGTGATAACTAGACTTTCACATGCACAGAGATAGAAGGATTTATTAATCCTTTACTAATACCCACAATAGAGGAGTGGATGATGAAACTGATGGATTTGGTGGAGATGGTGAAATTGACAGCTTTGATTAAAGAAAAGACTAATTTTATTTCTCCTTAGAAACCACTTTTGGATTTTGAAATTGAAATAAATAAAATATTGATTTTGGGATTTTATGTTTTAAATTATATGGGATAATAGAAATAATGTTAACCTTAGAGTAAGAGTTTGGTTTTTTTAAAATTCATATCTGTTGCAAAGAAGGTCGAAAGTCACTATTTTTCTTACTTTTTCTTTTGTTTTTTTCACACTTCTCTCTTCTTTATTTATTCTTTTTCTTTTTTCTGGTCTGTCTATCCTTGTGTTTTTGAAACTCAATAAAGTTATAAAAATAAATTAAATGCAGAAATTAAGTAAAATTAAGATGAACCCAAGTGTGTAAAATAAAATTTTGTCTACAATAGAAATCCAATTGGTTTCTGTATGAAACAGTAAAGTTATTGCAGTGAAATGACTAAATAAATATTCCTTAGGATAGGAGCTCCCCCTCGTGGCCACAAGTATAATAAGTTCAGAAAGTTGGATTCTGCAAAGCAATCTAGAACAGGGGTGTCAAACTGCCGGCCCACGGGCCAGATGCATCACCAGGAAACCGCGCCCACCCCATTGCCGGCAATGGGAAAAAAGCTCCAATATGTCGCACGTTGTCATGTGACGTCACGAGTTTGACATGTCTGATTTAGAGTGAATAATATCCACAGAAGTAAAACATGGAGTTAAATATCGTTAATATGTAATCTAAGTAAATATAAGATACAATAAAATAACTAATGAAACATGTAAAATAATTCTATATTCAATCTTCACCAAGTTAGATATAGTCAAATATTTGTATAATTATTTAAGTCAGGAAAAGGAAATAACTACAGCTATTATTATTTAAGTCAGGAAAAGGAAATAACTACCAAACCTTTTTTTAGCCGGTCTCAGTTTCTCATTTGGATTTCCCACATGAATGCAAGCTAAAAGAGCAGAGCATTGATTAGAAACAATTATTGATTCCCATACAATAATTTCTAAATATATTGCCATAAAACATAGTGATAGAGATTAATTTGATAACTTTTTAAGATACATGTAAATGATAGATTGATTATTTTATTCATCACAATAGGCAATGTGCATAAAACAGAATCCAATGATAGACAGTAGAAAGTTTATTATATCATGATTTTCTGTGAGGAAGGTGTGTGGTTAAGACTTTTAATAATAGATAAATAAATAAATCTTGTAGCCATCCTTTGCTGAAACATTGAGCTGAAATAAAGATCTTTTGATCTGATATACATCTTCATAAAAATGGACTTGGAAGGTAATTTGCAAGATTTATGTTGATAAAGTTTTAGATTCATTATTTTTTCAGAAATTACTATAAAAATATTTGACTATTTTCTCATTAGGAAATAGAAGAACTTGTAGCCAAACTTCACAAAGATGCGTTAGTTGTAGAGCAAGTTCGAACTTTGGTTAAAAAGGATGAAGAAACTATGGTTGCGGAAACAAAAATTGTGGAAGGGTATGCTAAGGTACATAGTTTTCAAAATTTCTTCTTTGGATTACATCATACGAAGTATGCCAACTATTCGAATCAAATGTAATTTTCCTATCAAAAAAGGAGAAACTAGGGCCACTATGTCTGGACTGCAAAAATCTGGAGAATCTCCAGATGGCAGCAAGAGATTAATTTTTGCTATAAAAAAGGCTTATATTTGCATTAAAGAATTTTGTATACAAAAATAGTATTTGTACATGTATATCCTGTGAATAAAAAAATGAAACTCTACCCTTTCTTCATTTTTGTAGCAAGTAACAGAAGAGCTCAATACTGTATTACCATCTTTGGAGAAGGCCCTTAGTGCTCTTGATGCACTTGACAAAAATCACATTGCAGAAGTTAGGTAAATATATCACTTATTTCCAAGGATTTCTAAGCTGAGGATTTCTTGCAATCAAAATACATTAATTCAGTGAACATAATATTCATTAGTCATATTCAGTTTGCATTGTTGTATCCTGATTCTTGCTAAAGTAAGAAACTATTAGCAGGAATAGTAAGATACTGTCAAAGCAATAGATTCCCTAAAAATCAATCATCTCAATAGAAGACTGCTCTTTGATTATTTCATATTATTTCTCATTTGTATATTAAATTGCAATCTCCAAGGTCAGAAATATGCATTACATTCCTTGGGCAGTCTAGCAGTGTTAAGTATTTTCATGTTGATTACTAAAATTATTGTATCTTAATTACTGAATGTAAATCAGGTTGCTTTGGCAAAAAAAATGACTTTGAATATAATATATTTTGTGCTCTTTTTCTGTATAATTCAGAGTATATACTCATCCTCCTCTACTTGTTTTAACTGTTATGAATGCAGTCTGTATTCTTCTTCAAAAGAAACCAAACTGGGCAACAGCAAAATTACTACTTTCAGATCCAGGATTCCTTAAAACATTGATTACAATTGACAAAGATAATTTACCAGAAAAGGTAAATGAAGAATTCCTTTGCAAGGAGATTCAATGTTTTTCTGCTGTTGTATACATAAATCTTCAAATAAGAGATTTTAAAAATGAAACACATTTCCCGGGGTCTGGATTGGGGTTTCATTGCGCCAGAGTCCAACTATTTTTTCCTTATCAGGCTGTAAGATATCTTCTGAATGTAACAGATGAGAATAATACATTGTAGTCAAATTTCCTCTAATTCTGCATTCATCTCTCACAGCCTTATTTATCTTTTGAAAAACTGACTCCTCATCCATTAACATTGCTTTTGGCTGTGTTATTCATCAGAGGACAGCTGTTTTTCATTTCCATCATGTAGATTCAGTTGGTGGGAGTTTGAGACAAAGGCCTTAGTGGTAGAGTTCTATCTGGAAATAGATAGTACATGTTTGTATATATATATAATTCATATCTAATGAACTATCTCTGATAGCTTTTAAATGGATAGTAAAATATTTCATTTTGATTAATTAGAATATTGAAAAATAAAGCAATATTTTGTTTTTGTGACTTTAATCTTTATTGAAATATTATTCATAGTCTTTTTTTTGCTTCTATATCCTTTTTTGTTGTTGTGGTTTGGAGATATATTATTTTCGTTTATGCTGTACAGTTTATAATTTCCTTTTCTTGATAAATTCAGTGCAATGGAATTATTTTTAAAAAACCAAATAAATAAATATTAGTTATTGATTGAAGATATGGAAGAATTTTATATTTATCTGTTACACATGCCATTTTATTAATTATTTATTTATAATTAATTATTTTGTATTCATTTTAGGTTTTTCTGCAGTTAAAAAAATATGTGAGGTCGCCTGATTTCAATCCAGTGAAAGTGGGACTTGTGTCTGTTGCATGTTGCTCCATATGCCAGTGGATTTTAGCTCTGGATCACTATCACATTGTTAAAAGGGTATATTTACATAGATTATTTCCAATAGTTTTTAAAACAATCTGTCATATATGACAGATTGTATTTATAAGGGAAAAAGATTCTACCTAATTCTGGAATACGTTGCTGATTTCTGCAAAGGCATTTTATTCAGAATTGTCAGAGGTAAAATAACTTCAATTGTCTTTATTTTCCATTTACTTTTCTGCTATTTTAATTTTCTACCATAAAACAAATGTAGGAATGTACCTGGATTCAAATAGCTTAGTGAAGAAAGGCCTGGAAGCAGACCTGAAATATAGAGCAATCCTAATTTAATATTTTATTAACCAACTAATTGAATTGTTTTTTCTTATAGTCTCCATTTCTGATCACCAGAAGATAGTTTAAAGTAACCTTCTAGTCTCTAGAAGATTGACCTGACAAGAAATGGGTTAACTTATCTCTTCATTAAGAATATAGTATTAAAAGCAACTTTTTCCTATCCCAAGAGATTCAAACATGTCATAACTTGGTTTCAGTTGTATAGTTACTGCAACTATTAAAAGTGTTGAGTTGTTAATATCAATACAGGTAGTCCTTGATTTATGACCATAATTAAGCCCAGAATTATAATTGTAAGTCAAAAGTAAACATTGGAAAACTGGCAAAATATGTTATAAATCATGGTCATGTGACTGCAGGATGCTGCAAACAGTTGTAAAGGTGAGTTGGTTGTCAAGCACCCAAAATGCAATCACATGACCATGTTGTGTATGTGTGACTGTTGTAACTTCAAAATCAGATCATTAATGCTTTTTGCAAGTTTGTCATAACTTCAAACAGTCGCTAAGTGACTAGTTATAAGTTAAGGACTCCCTGTATGTTCTTCTCTTCCACAGGGATCCTTGTGAAAAGGGATCTCTGGCATCACTTCAAGATTGCAGAGAAGGCAGAACAGATAGTGATTCAAGAATTGATCTTGATACCTCCCTTAAAATAATTATATGGCATCTCTTCTTGGAATTTTCCATCTCCTGTCTGGATTTCTTCCCCCTAGTTTTCAAGGGCATTTTCCCTTTGCTTTTATCATGTCCATGCAGGATTGTTATGAGGAGGATTGCAGGAGGAAAATGGAAAGAAAGGTTGTGGAAGAGTTTCCAAGACTGAGAGGTCATTTTGCCCTCAGAAAAAAACCCTCAAACTCTTCCTTTTTGAAGCTCAACCGTAAAGAGTACCTATCTACCAGCTTGCCATTCCAAGGTCATTTCTAGAGCAATCCTCATCCTTTAAAAATTCCTTATAGATTTTCCTACGTTTAAGGGAGGAAAACTGGTCTATCCTTCCTAACCTATTGGGACCTAGATATAGAGAATATAAAGTTACTCAGATGATTTATTTATTTATTTATTTATTTATTGAATTTATATCCCGCCCTTCTCTTTGCGGACTCAGTAGTATAGAAATTTGATAAATAAATGAATAGAAGATGACCTTAAAGGATCAAGAGAAGTTTCATTAGCAAGGCAATAATCAGATAAATTATACAAGAGGAAGGGAATCACATTCAGACTTGCAAAATTCTGTTACCATAGCTATTCTAATAAAAGTAGCTTTAGGTTTACACAATGTCTGTTTCTTAGTTTTGTCTATCTTCTAGGACTGCACTAGGTTATAAAAGTCTTTCCTCTGGGGCAAGTTGGTAAATGAAGTAAAACTTCAGATTTGTGGGAAGGGAGAAGGATTTCTGAAGGATTTCTGAAATAGGACAGCTTCACTTTTGGCCCCTATTCCATAATCAAAGATGACATGAATTGTTCTGAATTAGTCTTGGCTCCCATGTCCAATAGGAATAGTTGAGCATTGGCCAGATGAAACCACTCTGGATGCTCTGTGCGGATGAGTAAAACCTAGACAGACTTTTAATATCATTCACATTCTTCTGATTCAGAAGAATCAGAATATTGCTATACAGAGATGAGAAACACTCATTATATTATGAGCAATGTGAAACAATTAGGATTCCTACCACATGACAGATGATATACATTTGCTATTCAAAGCCACCTCAAAACGTGTGCTTTTACTAAGACTCATGAATAGTGAAATCCTGTGCCAGAAATTGTATTAACACATTATAATTATATTACAAATTTGCAGAGAAATATAAACAGCCAAATTACAATTGATGTTCAACACAGAACTGTCACAGAGAGATATGATTATTTGATCAATTTGCTCATTTGTCATATCATAAGATTGTGAATTTCTCCAGGGTGCATCACTAGCTAATAGTCCGGACAGGGGAACATGCAATATAAAGATGTCACAATATAAATAAGCATGGTAGAAAATTAAAATGAACACTGGAAAAAAGTTCTCATAGAGATGCTGCTTTCAGTAAAATCCCTCAAGTGCAGTCAGTAATATCAATATAATGATTATTTGTCATATATAAATAAATGTATCTATATCAAGACATTTGTGATATATATTTCACCTTTCTCTAAAGTATTAACTCTATCAATTTCATATTGAATTGTAAATATATCTTGTTTTTTTTTAGTTTGTAGATCCAAAACAAGCAAAGGTAGCAGAAGCAGAGGAATTACTGAATCGCGCACTTAGTAAATTAGCTGAAAAGCAAAGAAGTTTAGCCCTGGTAAAATAGATGTCTTTATCAAATGCCATCATATTTACATAATTTGTTAAATAATAGAAAATGTATATCCATCTAAGTAATCCATATTATTTTAATATAAATATTTCCTTTGCTGAAGATAAAGTCATCTTCATTAGCTGGAATAATATATTATCTCTCAGGGTTTATGTATTAAATATTAATCACACCATAGCTCTAAATGACATTTTCTTTCACCATTGTACTTAAAAGTGTTCCAGCCTGAGTGAAGAGAGTAAAGAAATAGTGGTGGAAAGAGTTTGGTTCTAGAATTATCTAAGAGTCCTAAATTATCCTAAATAGTTTATAATAAGTTCTTTTCAATGATCTCTGTACTTCACTTAAATGAATTCTGCACCTGCATAGAGACTCATTCAGAAGATGTTGTAGAGCTGAGTTTTTTGGTGGGAAATATTCCCACCCTCTTTGCACATGCATAAAAGAAATAGTTTTCACTGTGCTTCCTATTTCTTTTCCTGCCACAACAACAGAATTGCTTAGAGCAGGGGTGTCAAACTGGTGGCCCATGGGCCGGATGCATCACATGAGGCCACACCCACCCCAGCTCCGCAAAGGCAAAAAAATCGCAATACGTCATGTGACACGATCGAGCTTGACACCTGTGGCTTAGAGCATTCTGTCATTTATTTAGAGATACTTCTACTTTTATTCATGGCCCTCACTTCTCTTTGTTCAACACCAACAGCTTGGATTCCTCTTGAACTGTTATTTTAATACAGTATTGCCATAGAAGTTTCCATTTTTCCCTACCTTAACTAATGTTGATTTCATTTATCCTAATCTAAAATAAAATTCAGTAGAAACTAGTTAGTTCATTATTTCAGTTTTATATCTAATGACTAGAATTGGAATTTGGATTTTAAGGATGCTTTCACTCTACTGATGTATTCATTACTAACCTTTTTGATTTCAGTGTGCTTTATGTTGCCTGAAAGATGCTTAAGTATTTGTAATGATCTTCTTCATCCAGACTCTTGATATTATTTCTATAGGGCATCTTGATGCCTTCAATTTTCACTATTTTTCTGCTGTTCATGATAAGAATGGGACATATGTGCAGTCCAAGTATATATGTCCACTCCCCTTATTTTCTCACAATAAAGTGAGAATAAACCATCTGGTCTATTACACTTGCCATCTTTTTATCTTATACTGATTTTATTGTATTTCCTATGTTTGATTCCAGTGAGCTGCCCACAGTAGTTGGCAATCGAGCAGCATATAATTATTATTATTATTTTTGGTCTCACACGCACACACGAAGTCCAAACATACCTCATCATGGAGGAGGTGGTGGGTGAACAGTATAAGCCTATTATACTGGCCAACACAGCTCTGGCCTGGAAAAAGATCTGGTGACCTACTCCAGTTTCCCCTTCCAAGAAATTTTATGGATCAACTCAAAGATGTGGAAGATATGCTACTGAAAAGTGAGTCCTCCTGGATGGGAGGTACCAATAAAGCTACAGGGGAAGAGCAAAGAAATTATCATAGTAACAGGAGTATCCATGATGCGGATGGATACTTAATGTCCCCTCCCCAACCATTGACACAACTCCTAGAGGAAAAAAAATATCTCTGCTGTTCAAAGATCTTCAAATTAGGAACATGGAACATCAATAGCTTAAATCTAGGAAAGCTGAACATTGTTAAGAACTAAATGAGTAGGCTTAACAGTGATATACTATCAGTGAAGTTCATTGGATTGGCTGTGACTTCTTCAACTCTGATGATCACATCAAACAGTATACTACACGCAATGATACCATCAGAAGAAGAGTGGGTTTCATAATACATAAAAAAGTGGGCAGAACCATAGAAAGTTTTCAAACAGTCAGTGATAGGATAATGGCAATACATATTAATGGAAAACCTTGCAACATGACAATTGTGCAATTTTATGCTCCCATTTGCAGACTCAGCAGTAGAAAGCATCAAAGAATTCTACACTGAAATTCAGGAAACTGAAACAAACACTAGAGAAAGACATTATCTTTATTATTGGAGGTTTCAGTGCAAAAGTGGGAGAAATGTAAAACAGGAATCACAGGCAAGTTTGGCCTTGGTGAACAAAATGAGGCAGGAGAACATTTAATTCGGCTATGCCATAAACAACAGCTAAGACTAATAAATACATTATTACAACCCAAGCAGTGACTATAGACTTGAAGTTCACCAAATGGAGAACGTCTAATCCAAACTGATTATATATTATGCCAAAAAAATGTAGAGAAGTTCCATCCTCACCATGAAAACGTTCCCTGGTGCAAATTATGGGTCAGACCATGAATTTTTAGGCACCACAGTAAAGTTCAGATGCTGCAGTGTCAAACGAACACCCACAATTCAGAAATTTGACTTTCAGAAGATTCCCCCAATATATGCAGTTGAAATTAAGAACAAATTTGAATTGCTCAATACCACAGAAAGACAAGCAGATAAGCTATGGAAAGAAATAAAAATAACCATCACTAAAGTAGCCCAAGAACATATTACATACAAGAAACCAGTGAAATTGGCCAGATGGATATCAGAAGCTACTATAGAGACTGCAGAAGAGAGAAGGAAAGCAAAAACCATTGGTGACAGGAAAGAAATCAAAGACTAAATGCAAAGTTCCAGAGAGAGACAAGAAAAGTACTGGGCTGAGCAATGTAAGAAATTGGAGAAAGCAACCAAGAGAGGGTTTCACTTATGTGAAGAAGGTCAGAAACCCCTTTCTTGTAACCAAGGCTATGGGCAGATGATGTGATGGGCAGGAATCGCATGACCAACAAGCAATAAGAAAAAGATGGTGGGAATATGCAGACCAACTTTACAGAAATGAAAAACAAGACCAAGGCGTAAGAGGAGAAGCTGACCTACAGATATGGAACCAGATATCCTGGAGGAGGAGGAGTGTGGACATTCAACCAGTTGCCTAAGTGCAAAGCCCTAGGAGTTGATGGAATTCCTGCAGTGTTGCTGAGACCACTGCCAACAAAAACACTTATAGCACTTTGCCAAAGTGTATGGAAGCCTGGTCAGTGGCCAAAAGAATGGAAAAGGTCAATATTTATCCCAATACCAAAGAAACACTGTTCCAACCACCGAACCATAGCCTTGATATCACATGCGAATAAAATTCTCTTGAAGATAATCCAGCAATGTTTAAATCCAACCCTTAACAGAGAACTGCCTGATGTGCAAGCATGATTTTGGAAAAGAAGAGGAATACATGATCATACTGCCAATCTACTTTGGATTATGGAAAAAGCAAAGGCACACCAAAAACACCTCTACATGTGCTTCATTGACTACACAAAAGCCTTCAACTGTGCTGACCATGACAAATTCTGGAACTGCCTCAAAGAACTGGGAATATCACGATACCATATCCAGCTATTCAATCATTGTACTCTGATCAGGCAGCTACTATAAGAACGGAATATGGATACACAAAATGGTTCAGAATTGGAAAAGGCATTTGGCAAAGTTGCATCCTGTCACCTATACTATTTAACATATACACAGAAATAGTTATGAGAAATGCACATTTGGAGGAATCTACCATTGGGATTAAAATCGGTAGTAGAACTATCAACAACCTCCAATATACAGATGATACAACAATGCTCGTGGAATGGCTAATCCTGAGAGTTTGTAAAAGACAAAAAGGACAAATACAAAAAATGGAAAGAGGGGCACCTAACCAAGGCTGATTATCAGCAGACAGCCAAAACATGCAAAGAAGAAGACAGGAAAGCAAAGGCCCAGAATGAACAAAGACTCACAACAGAAATCAAGGACAACAAAAAAAGTTTCTTCCAACATATTAACAAAAAAAAAAAGTCAAGGAAACTGTAGGCCCACTAAAGAGAGAAGATGACAAGGAAATTACAGGCAACAGGGACAAAGCATCGCTGCTTAACTCATACTTTACATCAGTCTTCACACAAAAAGAAACCATAGGCCAACACACCAAAAAAACACTACAAAAGACATACTAGAAACAAAAATCAAAATAAGCAAGAAAATGGTAAGAGAACACCTATCTAACCTTGATGAATATAAATCACCAGGACCCGACAGATTACATCCCAGAGTTCTGAAAGAGCTGGCAGATGTTATCGCAGAACTGTTGTACCACATCTTTCATAAATCCTGGAGCACTGAGAAAATACCCAAGAATTGGAAAAGGGCTGATGTGATCCCCATCTTCAAGAAAGGAAAAAAAAAACATCCAGGAAACTACAGACCAATCAGTTTAACATCAATACCTGGGAAGATCCTAGAAAAAATAATCAAAAAACAGATCTGTGAACAACTAGAAGCAAACAAAGTCATAAGTAGCAGCCAGCACAGGTTTGTTAAAAACAAATCATGCCAAACCAATCTTATCTCATTCTTTGATAAAGTGACCAAACTAGTAGAACAGTGAAACACACTGGACGTAATATACCTAGATTTCAATAAGGCATTTGACAAAGTGGATCACAACCTATGCCTTGGTAAGCTAGAAAATGGTGGAATAGACAACATCACCACCAGATGGATCTGTAGCTGGTTGACAAACAGTACTCAACGAGTAGTCCTCAATGGCACTACATCCACATGGAGAGAAGTAAGCAGTGGGGTACCACAAGATTCCATCTTAGGCCCAGTACTCTTCAACATCTTCATAAATGACTTAGACGAGGGAATTGAAGAGGAACTCGTCAAATTTGCAGATGACACCAAACTGTCAGGAGTAGCCAACACCCCAGAAGACAAACTCAGGATTCAAAAAGATCTTGAACAATGGGCCCTATCCAACAAAATGAGTTTCAGTATGGAGAAAAGCAAAGTCTTACACTTAGGCAGGAAAAACCAAAGGTACAAGTACAGATTGGGCGAGACCTGGCTTAAAAACAGTAACTGTGAGAGGGACCTTGGAGTCCTAGTGGATGATCACTTAACTATGAGCCAGCAGTGTGCAGCAGCAACCAAAAAAGCTAATACAATCCTGGGTTGTATAAATAGAGGCATAGAATCAAGATCACGTGGAGTATTAGTACCGTTTTATAAACACTAGTAAGACCACACCTGGAATACTGCAGCCAATTTTGGTCACCATATCACAAAAAAGATGTTGAGAGTTTGGAAAAAAACAGAGAAGAGCAACTAAGATGATCAAAGGCCTGGAGACCAAAATATATGAAGAACGGCTGCGGAACTTGGGTTTGGCTAATCTAAAGAAAAGAAGAAATAAGGGAGACATGATAGCAGTGTTCCAGTATCTGAAGGGCTGCCACAAGGAAGAGGGGGTCAGGTTGTTCACCCAAGCATCAGAGAGAAGGACGAGAAACAATGGTTGGAAACTGATCAAAGAACGAAGCAAGCCTGGAATTAAGGAGAAACTTCCTGACAGAGAGGACAATCAACCAGTGGAACAGCCTACCCCCAGAAATTGTGGGCGCTCCATCACTGGAAATTTTCACGAAGTTTTCACGAAATTATCTCAGACAGGATAATCACCTGTCTGAGATGATATATGTTCCCCTGCTTGAGCAGGGGGCTGGACTAGAAGACCTCCAAGGTCCCTTCCAGCTTCTATTCTATTCTATTCTATTCTATTCTATTCTATTCTATTCTATTCTTGTTGGGCACATGTTGTGCAAGTGCTATTGAGGGCTGGATTTGAATCTTGTGGCTCATAAATGAGGAAGATAGGTGTGCACTGGTAGGAGTCAGTTGTTCATAATTTTTCTGTATTCTCTCACTAGTGCATTTTGCTTTTGTAAAGCTGGCAGTGCTATATGACCCAGAACAGGAAGCCAGCAAGCTGGAGTGGTTTTAATATATCCACTTATAATCCTCATGTTGTTCTTGAGTCCAGCATCTAAATTACTAGTATGGCAACTTAGTTCCAGATTCTCTTTCTTTCTTTCTTTCTTCTTTCTTTCTTTCTTTCTTTCTTTCTTTCTTTCTTTCTTTCTTTCTTTCTTTCTTTCTTTCTTTCTTTCTTTCTTTCTTTCTCTCTCCCTCCCTCCCTTCCTTTCTTCCTTCCCTCCTTCTCTTATTTTTACCTTGTTAAAACCTTTAAAGAAGACCCATCATCTTAAGAAGCAGAAGGCCACAATAGTATTTTACAAAATAAATTTCTTCAGTTTCCTTGAATTTGAATGAACACTAGCTTCTATTCTTTTCATTCCTCTTGATACTATTCTATTTTCTTTGCACTGCCCCTTTTAAAAATACCAACATTTTTTTTGTTATCTGCTGATAATTTTTGGCAAACCAATACTTAAGCTAAAGCCAAGAATTTAACAGAATTCCTAGAAGCCTGGCACTCTGATAGACTGATTATTAACAGACACATAGATATATCCAAATTGCTTGTATTTATTCTCAGTTGCCAGCCTTGGTACAGATTCTGTGGAGATGCCTGGGGCACTATCTTTCCCTTTTTGAGTCTGTTAGACCTGAGAAAGTGGGCAGGGTCCTCATGACTGTGAGTTGACCACCTGTTCATTAAGTGCTTGTTTCTCCTGACTGGCTATAGTCACCCAGGAGGTGATGTGCGGTTGGGTTCTGGTGGTGGTGAATTGTTCCTTGAAAGAGGGGTTCACCCTTAAAAAGGGATTGCCCCCACATCAAGAAACCAACTTTAGATCTAACCTATTTTTAGAGAATATTGTTGAGAAGGTAGTCATGTAGCAGCTTCAGAGGAGCCTGGTAAAGCAGATTATCTTGACCATTTTCAGTCAGATTTCAGGCCTGGGTATGGAATATTTCAGGCGTGGGTATTTTTGGATGAACTTGGGTGTGAATGGTATGGAGTTAGTGCATCCATCCTTGTTCTACTTGACCTGTACATAGCATTTAATACTATCAACCATAGTATCCTTCTGGACTGGCTTTGGTGGCTGGGAATGGGCAGCACTATATTTTGCTGGTTCCCTTACTTCCTCCAAGACTGGTTCCATCAATGTTTCATTGGCAGCAAGAGGGCCTGCCCCCAGTCCCTACTATGGGAGATGCTATATTGCTTGGTAGTCTCTCCACTCCTATTTAACATCTACATAAAGCCACTGGGTGAGTTTATCCATCACCATGAGTTGAGATGTCATTAGCATGCTGATGTACCCAATTATACAACTCTGCCATTGGCAAAACGATGCTGCTAATCTGATGCTGTCTTGTATCTGGATATTGTAAGGATTTGGATGGGAAGCAATGGACTCTGGCTCAATCTTGACAAGACTGAGTTATTTTGGGTTGGGGGGGCTTCTGATTCTGGAATTTGCCACCAGGATGGGATGGGATGAGATGAGATGACAGTGCCCCATACAGAATCAGTGTACAATCTGGGAATCCTTTTGGACTCACAACTCCTACTCAAGCAGGAGACAAACATGGCAAGGAGTTTCATTTCACATTATGCACCAGCAGGGCTTTTTTTTGTCATAGAACGCTCAGAACAGAGTTCCGGCACCTTTTTGGGATGAAACCTTGTAGGGTAGGCAAGGCGGGTTGTATGACATGTGTGAGTTCCTGCACCTTTTTTTTTTTTTTTTTTTACAAAAAACGCACTGTGCACCAGTTACATTTGCCCGTTCCTGTATTGAGAGATTCTCAGTTACTCATGTCCAAATTGTTTATTGTAATGCTCTCTACATGGGGCTATCCTTGAAGAGTATCCAAAGCTCAGCGAGTACAAAATGCAGTGGTACAGACAGTTATGTCTCTTTTCAAAATACATGTCATACCTCTGATTGCATTGCTATGGTGCATGGCATCATTTAATACAATATATTTCAATCTTTATAAAAAAAGATTAAAATCATCTTCAAAAAAGAATAGTAATTTATATGTGAAAGCCAAGTTAGTGTAGTGTTAAGGAACCAGGTTAGAAACTGGAAAACCCTGAAGTCTAATCCCATATTAAGCACACACAAAAAACCATCTGGGTGACTTTGGGCCAGGCAGTCTCTCTTGGTCAGTGACAAATCACTTCTGAAATCTTGCCAAGAAAACTGTCCAGGCAGCCATCTGGAGTCAAGGCTCACTCAGACACACAGAAACAAAAAAAGAAACAATATATAAAGCTCTGAAATATTTAAGGTTGTATTTCATCATTTCAATAAAAATAAGTCTTTGCTAATACTGAGACTAAAATAGATAGGTATTAATGCTTCTTGTTCTTCATACTACATTTAGTATGACATTTACAAAGCTCCTAGTACAAACACTGCCAGTTTTTAGTCAGCTTCAGAAAGCATTCCTATAAAAGGCAGTGTCAAGCCGGTTATGTATTATTCCCAAAAAAAATTCATGGAGGAATCATATAGTCCTAAACTTCACTTAAGAGCATTTTACCTTCGTGCATGGTCATCATCTTGCCAACTCATGATTTTTTCATTACCTCCATACATTTACATGATTAGTATTCGTGTCATCAACTGTCTGTTTTATGCTGTACTTCATATTTTAATTATATAGTATAGTATATTATGATTCTCTTAATGCAAGAGATGCTTATGAATACAATCTTATTTTCCTCTCTATAAAATGGTATCATATCACTTGCAATTCCTATTCCTTTAGGTCATTCTTTGATGCTTTTTCTTGTAATCTTAGAAGCAAACTTTCATACTTTACACTAAATAAAGAATTTAGGGTTTGGAAGATCAATTGTCAGCTTGATTGATGGGGGGGAAGCCAGCCAGTGAAAACTCCTTCTTTTACCATACTTATAGTTCCAGCAATTAGAATCATAGAGGAGTACATACTATGTATTATGTGTACCTATATATTAAGCTCCAATAATAATTGTCAATTAATTCATGTTTAAAATGGCTTTCAGCTAGAAGTTAGCACATATCAGAGAAAAATGTTCCTTTTGGTAAGGTTGTATTAGATTATCATTTAGAATGGGAACCTGCTTGCAAAATAATGCAAACAATTCATAAGAGTGAAGTTGGAAAAACAAACTTACTTGTCTGTTCTGATAAAGCATGGCTGAGATCTGTTTTTAGTGACTAAGAAAAGAGGAAAACTGATAATTGATAGGAAAAGGTAATAATAAAAAGCTAAAGTAGAAAAGTCTTTCAGCATATTTTTCGAGGTAGGTCTATATTCAAACTACACAGTTGATTACTAAAAATACTACAGCTATAGTTAAGCAAGCAGTCTTTCTACCCAGACCTGCTGAATCTGCTCAGAAAACTCATGCATAATAATGTTTAAGTGGGCAAAGTTTTAGTTAGAGTCTGGAAGAACCCTGTAGAAGCCTCATAGTAGATATTACTGAGTTTATTTTTAAAAAAATTCATGCAAATATAGCAAGTAATACTGCTTTAGTAGAGTTTTTAAGTAGATTTTCTCATTTGGAATTTAAAAAAATTCTAAATTTTCAGATTGAACAACATCAACAAAATTTAGAAGCATTGTATGATGAAAGTATTGCTGAACAGGAAAAACTTGCAGCCCGAAAACTTCAAACAACTCGCCGTTTACACAGTGCATCTATATTAAGCATAGCTCTAAAGGATGAAATGGTATTACCTTTTAAATCTGCTCTAATGCTTAAGTTCAAACTTCATTCTTCACATTTTCAACTGCTTTTTCTCACTGAATCTTTCTCACATTATATACTGTATTTAAGCATTGGGTTATATTTTATGCACAATTGTGATTTTCCTCATTATTCATATCTAAAATCTCATATTTGTGATTCCTATGTGACCAATGTACTGCTGATTTGAAAATAAATACATTTTATTAATGTCTTCATTAATTATATAGCACCCTTGTGGTAGCTGGATGATGTTATACGTTATTACTGCAGACTTGATGTTTCACATATATGCTGATACTTTCTGACCTAGTAGGAATTGACCAAATAAATAATCATGACGTCATGACCATATAGTTTAATAAAAACACAAAAAGTATGTGTTTTTCAAAAATCCAATATTAATGCCCTTGTGGTCATAGTTGGTGTTACTACACTTAGAATAATTTGTATAGTACTGTGGTCATTGTACTTCAGAAAAAAAACAGAACTGAAAAATGTGAAGAAAAACTACAAAAAGGCCCATAATAGAATAATAATGTATAGAATTATACATGGTATGAGAAAAGTTCACTCATCATAGTAGAACCCAGAAATATTTGATGATTTAGTGTGGTAGGAGGTTTCAGAGAGAAAAACTACTTTCAATTCAGAATAGAGCTGAAAGAGACCTTGGAGGTCTTCTAGTCCAACCCCCTGCTCAAGCAGGAGACCCTATACCATTTCAGACAAGTAGCTGTCCAGTCTCTTCTTAAAAATCTCCATTGATGAAGCACCCACAACTTCTGAAGGCAAGCTGTTCTACTGGTTAATTGTTCTCACTATTGGGAAGTTTCCCCTTAATTCCAGGTTGCTTCTCTCCTTGATTAGTTTCCATCCATTGTTTCTTGTCCTACCCTCAGGTGCCTTGGAAAATAAGTTGACCCCCTCTTCTTTGCGGCAGCCCCTCAAATACTGGAAATACTGTTATCATGTCACCCCTAGTCCTTTTTTTCTCTGGACTGGCTATACCCAAATCCTGCAATCATTCTTTATGTTTTAGTCTCTAGGCCTTTAATCATCTTAATTGCTCTTCTCTGCACTTTTTCCAAAGTCTTAACATGTTTTTGTAATATGGTGACCAAAACTGGATGCAGTATCCCAAGTGTGGTCTTACTAAGATTTATAAAGCTTACTAAGATTTATAAAGCCATATTAATACTTCATGTGATTTTGATTCATAAAGTATTGTAGAATTTGCTATGGCAAGAGTTAATGATAGACATAAAATTGGATAGTTTTGAAAGTATGGTCACACTTGTGGGGAATAAAGTATTACATATTGTAGCTATTTGTTATGATGGCTACTTACTATTTCTAAGATAAAGGAATACCAGTGACCAGCAAATAACTGATGTACTGCTTCTGAGTTCCTAATCACATCTAGTTGGAGGCCTTTTTATAATCTTCTAATTGATATTTGGCTTGTATGGTGGATGAGATTAGGTTACCAGATACAGTATCTGAATAAGCAAAGGAGGACATAAGAGAATTGGTAGGGATGGCAAATGAGGGAAAAGGAAGACATACTGTTTAGTTTCTTGAAAATGCACTTTTCAATTTTTACCACAGTAAAATATGAGGAGTCGTGTGATCTACAGACTAGAGTGATTATAAATTTGAAGGGGATGGGTTGAAGCCAATTGCTAGAATCAGGAAATAAATTTAATCAGTTGAGCCTGTTGACAGTTGAAGAAAATAAAGAAGCGATTTACAAGGTCACATTACACAAAAGTTTGAATGACTACTATTGTGAAAACAAAAATACAAGATACTTTTAAAAAGCTAGAAAATGTTTGATTTTAAAGCTATGCCTGCTAGATGGAGGACATGAAAACAAAAAGGATATGTCCTCTATTTGCCCAATGTCTGGTATCCCTAGATGAGATGGGCTTTTGACCTTAACCAATGCAACAATGGCAATTGTTATTTTGTTCCTAATATAGCTGAGAGAATAAAATGTGCTCCTGTTAGCCTCAGATACTAGGATTTAGTTCACATTTCAGTGGTTCCAAAGCTATTCTTTGTTAAATAAATAGTTCTTATCCATTTGTTTGGAGACATATGAATTTTTCAACCATTTGGGTGAACGAAGCAAAACAAGCCAATGTTATAAATAATAGAATAGAATTCCTTTAGGATGATTGGATGACCTTTAGAAGTTAATAGCCTGGTTTTTTTTTTTGTTTCTGCCTTCCATTAATGTTTTCTTGATTAGATAGGGTAAGAATGCACTTTCTCAGAACATTTCTGAATCTACCTATGGCCCTTTCAGGAGTAGGCAACACAAAACTCCTGACTTTTGTCTTCTCATTTAATTATGAGTTCTACAGTATACCGCATAAGCTAAACAAACTAGCAACACTAATATTCAAATTTATGATACATAGCTATATATTTTTCTTCCTTAGGAACGCTGGGAAGAATCTGTTAATAACCTTGACCAAAGATTGCAAGGAATTGTAGGTGATGTCCTTATATCAGCAGCTTGTATTGTCTACAGTGGAATCTTATCAGTGGGATATCGTCAACAGCTAGTCAATGACAGTTTGAAACTCTGCAATGAAAATAATATTTTGGTCTCTCCAAATTATTCATTGGTTAACTGCATGACCGAAAAGAACGAGGTAGTAAACACAGAGAGAAAAATAAGAATTAAATTGTTTTATTTATAATTTTATCTAAACACTTTTCTCAAATTTAACATTTCTTCCTCAGATTACACTTTCTGTCAGTTAAAGTAATTAATAAATAGTTGTATTTAGAATAGAAATTCTTTTTTTGAGAAAATATACTTCCTGATTTATAAGATTGTTCATTATTAACATAATTAGTGCATATGTGGGGGGGGGGCAATATTATAGGCAAGAATATAAATCTATAAAATCATTTTATAGGTCCGCAGATGGCAAAATGCAGGTTTGCCACATGATCAATACTCCACAGAAAATGCAATACTTGTTAAACATGGACAACGGTGGCCTTTACTAATTGATCCAGAAAGGCAAGCTTACAAATGGATATTTCAAATGGAAGGCAGCAAACTGCGACAAATCAGTGCTACAGATGCCAATTATTTAAAAACAATTGAATATTCTTTGCAGTTTGGTGAATCAGTCCTTTTGCAGGTAATTCAACACAAGCTAGTCATCCAACATACAAATCAACAAAAATATAATGCAATCAGTGCAAAAGATGAGCACCTACACTATAACATAGGAGGTTTTGAACTAATTCCCTATTTACTATTAAAAGACATTTTTTTTAAAAAATAGGGCTGATTTTACTAATTAATATTGGATATAAACAACCACTAACAACTGGGCATTGGAAGAAAGAGAACTACTGAAGAACTGTACCTCTACTCCATCCTCCCTAGCTAGCCCAGAGGAAAACCATGATCAACAGCATCATAGGAAAGTCAGGATAGATAAGTTACTCTAAGGGGAGAATACCCATCAATGGTATCTCAGTACTATATCCTGATCTGAAGTTGACTGTAATGGATCCAGATAATCTGCTTCCTTCAGATTCCTTTCTTTCAAGCTGTAGAAAGACCACCTACTAAACAACCTTCCTCAAAAAGAGAAGGTCAGAGATTAGACCCACATGGCCAGTGTTAAACTGAGCAATTCCAAATCTGACAGATGCTTCATATAATCTTCACAGCAGCCCTGCAAAGGTTCCTGTGACCCTTCTCTATACAAATATAATTGGGTCCAATACATTCTAACTATTATTTATTGGTATAGGTTTAAGATCCATTGACACTCTAGCTATAGAAGTTAAGACTGTCCCCCGTTGTCTAGCCTCTAATTTTTTATTCCATTCATCCATTACCATCTGCATATTAAATTGACTTACTGACAACAAATATTTACAGAAACTAATAGCAGGGGTTTTTTTAGTTTTAAAAGATTTAACCAGTTGTTCTAGCAACCTGGGTGTCTCAGAAGCTAAAAATGCAATCCAAACAATGTTAGCAAATGTTGTCACTGTAAACATTGTCAATGAGTTATATTTGATATATATATTTGTGTCTCAGCACAGCATATGTTAAAAATTCATCCTCATCATCTTATCAATTGGTCCAAAATTAATGCCCCCACTTTGATTCAATTTTTCCAAATTGCCATCTTTCTCCCAATTTTTAATGTTAGATTTTTCCATAAAGTCAATTTAGATGGGAAAAAGGGTTGATTTTTTTTTAGATATTACATTCCATGGCTTTTTAATTGATATAAATGTTTCCAGAGATACTAGAGCACTATTATATTCATGCTTCTTAGAATGTGATCAATTTATAATGGTTTGTGCATTTTAAGCCATAGCAATATATTAGTATTCCTCACTGGAAGCAATTCCTCATCAAGAAAAGAGCAAAGTATAGAGTATCTTAATTACTATAGGAAGTGCTTTTTTCAAAAAACAGAAAAGTTACTTACTGTATATGTAACATTGACTACAGTCTTATGTTTTTTTAGGATTTTCCTGAAACGTTGGATTCAAATATAAAATCAATCTTAAGCAAAGAGATCTACAAAAAAGGAGGGCAAGAATTCATTAGAATAGGAGATTCTGAAATTCAGTACAATTCAGACTTTCGGTAACTGCAGTATTGCTGAATGTTGTTATTTGGAAATTGTCTACTGCTAGATTAAAATTATTTAAAAAACAGTATCAAAATATATAAAAACATGTACATCACAGAACGCCATAGTGAGTTATGCACTATTAAATCCAGTGCAGTTCACAAGCAATAGAGCTACCAGAACTTTCAGCATCTTGAACTCTAGGAGAAAAGGTGACTCAGAGCACATGTGTATGCATGCATAGCATCAGTCAGTAATTCTTTATATCTAATGCATATTTTCCTGTAATTATGCATTTTATTATTGTTTATGTGATTATGTTATAGAGGAAAACTACATGAATCTGGGGAAAGATGCAGCTATTTTAAGGGGTTAACAACTTCTGTAGAGTTAGTCACAGTCTTTCCATTCTATACATTCAAACCACCCCACTCATGAATGTTTCTTATGCTCCTTACTGATTATTCCTTATTGAGTCACTCCAACTCAATAATGAGAATTGGCAAGTTGAAATGTCCTGTTGTTCTACTCGAAATTTAAAAAGGAAAAAGAAAAATTAATTTCCAGTGAAAGGCCCTGAAAATATAACCAACTTTACAGATTTTTAAAATGCAGGTCAAGCAAGAGCCAAACAGACCTCTTCCATATGCCAGAAAACAGTCCTCGGAAAGTGGAGGGTGGAGCAATCTTCCAAAGATGCAAATCTTAACAATCAGACAGTGTTATACTGGTGTTCCCTTACATTAGATAGCCAAGTTTAAGTCACTGAGTTCTTTATAGACTAGTATTTTAGATTAAATGCAAGTAAGAAAATAAATGAAAATTTGGCTCTAGAAAAAATATTCAATATGTTAGATGATATTAAATGTTCTTTTTAATATAAACATTACAATATTGTAATATTTTGTGATATTACAAAATCACAAATTACGTAACATATAAAAAAGTAATATTTACTTCTTAGAGCTGTGTAGAAGATATTTCCCTAATGGATATGAGTTATAATTAAAGATAATATTATTATAACATAGATTGGTGTGCTGTATGAAAAAGTTTTATAAATATTTATGATTATTTCAGATTATACCTGACAACACAGAAATTCAATCCTCATTTTCTGCCAGCAACATGCAATATTGTTACAATAATAAACTTCACGTTAACATTCCATGGTTTGCAAAATCAGCTGTTATCTGCGGTTGTAAATAAGAAAAAACCTGAACTTGAAAAACAGTACTGCAAGTTGATGGAAAGCATATCAATTGATCTGGTAGCATTACGTGAATATGAACAAAGATCACTTCAACTTTTGCAAAAAACAAGTGGTAAATAAAACTTTGAAAAACTTCATATATTTTATATCATTTTGCAGAGAGTGCAATATGTTATTAAACAGAATTCAAAGGTCAAAAACTTCAGTTTTTGAAAATAATGTTTCATTATATGTGTACAAATGCTTATAATCTTCATTTGGATAGTAGCAGAATAAAATCTAATTCTTGCCATCTCACATGTTATCTATTATTAACATAATTCTGCATCATTCTAATTATAATTGAAAGGCACCTTCTTACAGTAATTTTCATTGCAATATTATGATCATCCCCAAATGCCTTCCTATAACTCTCTATGCTTTCTGATATGTAGATATATAGATAATAATCAGTTAACAATGGTAATTGGGGCCAGAATTTCCATTGCTAAGCAATGCAGTTGTAAAGCATGATGTCATGTAACTATACCACTTAGGGATTGCAAACCTGAACTCCTGATTGCCATCATTAAGTGAGGGTCACTGTAGTTGCTCTATCGGTGAGATGAGCAGTATAGAAATTAAATAAATAAATAAATAACCACAAGTCATTAAGCAAGGACTTCCTCACAATTTCCTGTAGACTTCCAACAAGCAAAATCAATGGGGAAGATGGCAGGCAGTTGCAAATCCCAGGGTCCAGGAATGTGCACAAATGGCTGGCATTGCATGAACATGGCCTGTCTTAGGATAGCTACTGCAGGATGTGGGAGGATGCAAGAGGGCACCTGAGGGGCTGGTGTGGCGTGAGCACATGTAATGGTATGTGGGAAAGGCCTTGAGAGACAGGGTGAAGAGTTGCTGCTTAGAGAACAATCAAATAAGGAAGGGCATAGCCCACAGTAGGGATAATTGTGTAGGTTCAGAAGGGACTCTCCCTAACTTCTTGGACTTGCAAAACTGATGTCAGTCAGGTAGACAAGAAAGAAAACATGACCAAGAAGACTAATTCTACTTTATTATATGGCTGTATTAACACAATCATGGAAGTCTGAAAATACAAATCTCCCACCATCTCCTTTATGGTGTGAGAAGATGGTTTGCATTTTATTATGTAAGCCCTGGTGGTGCAGTGGTTAGAATGCAGTACTGCAGACTACTTCTGCTGACTCCTGGCTGAAAGCAGTTTGGCAGTTCGAATCTCACCAGGCTCAAGGTTGACTCAGCCTTCTGAGGTCGATAAAATGAGGACCCAGATTGTTAGGGGCAATATGCTGACTCTGTAAACTTCTTAGAGAGGGCTGTAAAGCACTTGAAGCAGTATATAAGTCTAAGTGCTATTGCTATTATTTACCTTTATCCAGTATAACTAATATACATATAGAAAAATATACACACAGGATGAAATGGAATCTTATATTTAAAAATATGCATTTCACAGGGATAGTTCTCATTATCTTACATTTGAGGCTGTCCCTTTATATATCACACATATTACATCCCTCTTCCAAACATGAAATGAAACATGCAGTTCCAACACTGTTCATATTTTTCCTGGAACCCCAAGTAATGCTTGTTTGTCATCCCAGTGTATTCCTCTGGCAATTTTTATTTATAAGAGCCCCAACGACTGGCATCTCCATAAGTAAAAATAAGTGTTTCTCTGGGACCAGGCAACTATACTGTGAGCCCAGGAAAAGATGGTTTTAAGATAGGTCCAACAGCTGCACCAAGGTTTCCTTTTTTTCCCCAGCACCTTTTCAGATCCAAGTAGCTGCATAGTTCTAGTAATGTCATATAAAACTATCTTTTACTTCTTTCATAACTTTGCTAACAAGCCCCCCTTGTTATAGTGCTTTCTGGTTTGTAAAGTGAATAGTTAATTTAGAAAATTTAATTACTTAATTTATTCTATTCTACAATTCAATTACACTTTTTTACAGGGCACCTTTTAGATGACCAAGACCTCATTGAAAATTTGCAGCGAACAAAAATTACCTCATCAGAGATTTTTCAGCGTGTAGCAGATTCAGCAGCGACAGAAGTCACCATAGAAGGAATGCGTCAAGCCTATATTCCTATAGCAACTCGTGGTGCTGTGCTCTACTTCGTAATATCAGATCTTGTACACATCAACCATGTCTATCAATTTTCACTGAATTGGTTTCATAAGATCTTTGTAGACTCTATAGATAATGTGAAGAAAAGTGACATTTCTCTCAGTGATTCTCTTTCAAGTACAAAAATAAGTGAATATAAGGTACAAAGTGAAGAAACATCAACGGAAAGTGAGACTGAGATAGATCACTTCAAAATAGATATTAATGAGATAATTGAGACACTAACATATCATGTCTATGAGGTACTTAAATGTTATAATACATAAATTATTTTCAGCTAATAGGATTTGTATATATATATATGCAAATGTTAATGGTTATATGTTTTTTTGCAGACAGTTTCTTCAGCTTTGTTCAATAAAAATAAGCTATGCTTTGCTTTCCTACTGTGCACAGCAATCATGAAAAATAATTGTGATGAAAATTTATTCATAAATAACCTTGGATTTATATCAGAGAATGAGTGGAATTTCTTCCTGTACTCTAGCATGATAGCAAATATTAAGCAACCATCAATCTCTGACCTTACTGGTAAACCAGAAATATTTATATTTTCTGTAAAGAAATGTGTAAAGATAATAATGTGCTCTCAGGGATGGATTTCATCATCCTTGAGTTAATATGTAATATATATGTAAATTATAGTAAGAATTGGTCACAGAAGTAACCAACATTCCATTTTTTACAAAATATTTCCATTGAGCTAAGCAATTACTTTTAGATTTTATAGGAAAAGATTCCTTTTCTCTTGACTCTTAACTCTGTTGTTTTCCTTCAGCTGCTTTATTATTTTCTCATCTATTTTAACAGTGGAGATAACCAGAAGTACCTGCTATCTATTCACAAGTAAATTTTTGACTTCTTCTATATTAGAGTCGTAGAATTGTAACTTTAGAAAGCCACACAGGCTTTCAAGACCCACTAAGCACCTGCTGGGTGCTAAAATCCTTTTTTTTTCTATTTAAAAAATACATGACAACTCTGGGCACTTAACTGAAGCATATCAAATGGGTGAGTATCTAATCTTTGCTTGAACACATTGATGAAGGGTAGAGGGAAAATGACTCTTTTGGTAAATTGTCCTGCTGTAGGATTATTCCTATTTTAGGGCGTTTTTTTAAATATTTTTCTAATATTCAACTGGAATCTGTCTTCCAGTGACGTAAATTTCTAGTTCTTTGAAATCAGAGAAAAACTATCTTAATCTTTTTCTTTGTGACATCCTTTCTGATGTTTAAGAGTGCTATCATATCTTATCTCAGTAATCTTTTCTAAAACTAAAGATGTACAACTCTTAGAGTCATTCTTCATAAGACTTAGTTTCTAATCTCGTTGTCAACTTTGTTGCCTTTTTCTGAACTCATTCCAGTTTCTTTGATTCCTTCTTAAATTATGGTGCCAAGAACCAGCTACAGTTCTGAAGTTCTTTTGATCCAATATAATAGACTGGAATAATTACGCTTCATAATGTTAATTCTTTGTAGGATTTTATAGGGATTGGTATCTTGAATTCATGAGCAAAATTGCTTTGCTGAACTTTTTTGCTTTTGGCCTAAGTAACAGTATGCAACACTGTCTGCTATTGTCACAAATTAGCATCCCCTTTTCTGGGTTGCCCTGATACAACTCAATTCTGCATGAAGAACACACTGCAAAGTATAAGCATAATACCTGTATATCTTTAAAAATGAAGTTTCACATATTGTTAAAACAATATATGATATTATTGAAGAAATTAGGAAAACTTTAAATCACTATAAATGTAGATGCATTTATGAGTTATTTTAACAAAGCAATCAAATGCATGTCTAGGTAGAACAAAATTCCTCTTTGTTCAATATGTAACTGATGTGCTAGAGGAGGGTTTTTGTTAAATTTAGGGGGCGTTATCCAAGTTATATGTTAAAGTGCCAAAGAAATATCCATTCACAGCTAACTGATTGTGTCCTCCTGGTGATCAAACCAAGTTTAGATACTACCACAGGATACAGCTTTATTCCACAGGATGGCTGAGAAGAGGAAAGGAAAGGAAAAACTGGGCATCTTGAATGTAATGGGTCTAAAGAGAAATTCTCTTTTAAATATCTTTATAAAGTCCTCTTTAGGGCGGTTCTGAAACTGATAACAGTTTCTGCATATATATTACTTTTAGCCACAACCTCTAGGATCATGATTGGTCAATTGACTGCCTCTCAGATTGGCTTTTCAATCCACCAGTCAAGATGGTCATGACAACACGGTCATATCATGGACATTAATAATTAATAATTTAATTAATATAATTAATGTTATATTAATATAACCAAATTAATAATTTGGTTATATTTATCTATTGAATGAAAATCAAAATACCAATATCTGTCCTAATTAAATGTTTCATATTATTTTATTAGGTTCATGTGTATTTAACAAAACTGCTCCATTCCACTGGATAAGTGAAATGATGTGGAAAGAATGTCAGTACATGAGTACTCAAATACCAGCATTCAGCCTATTGTGCAGTTCTCTGTCAACATATCCTCAACAGTGGAAAGATTTTCTAGATAGTGAGAACGTGTATAATTTGATTAGTACATGTTATACACCATTATCACCAAAGCAAGGTAATGCTAAAATATAATGATTTTCCTGGGCTTACACAATCTCAACAAAATGCAAGTTTGAAGTATCTATACATCCCCTATCTCTACTTTTTCCAAAACCACCTGGAGGAGGATTTGTGCTAATTGTTTTTTCTAACTAGATGTTAGAAATAAATCAATTAAATCATGTATCTAAATGTAGATGAGAAATGTATATCTGTGCAAAAGCCAGAAAGTTGTATGCCTTGTACATTTCATGTACTTTATGTAACTATAATATATTTTATTTATTTGGGAAATTTATCTTGCTGTCTACTCAAAGCGGCTTATAGGAAATAAAAAACAATATAAAAGAAATAAAAATAATAAAAAATAATAATAACCCACCACCATCCATCCCAGTGACAACACACACTCATACCAGCCATTTAATGGGCTCCATCGTACTCTGGGTTCCCCAAGGCCACTGGCAGAAACACATCTTCAGGGCCTTCTGAAAGAGTGTCAGAATGGGGGCCAGTCTAATTTCCAGAGGAATGATGTTCCAGAGGGAGGGAGCCACCGTGAAGAAGGCCTTTCTTCTGGGCCCACCAGATGTATCTCCTTGGGGGATGGGACCCACAACATTCCTTGCCTCCTCACTCTAGTGGGTCCGATGGATGTGACCAGCAAAAGACGGTCCCTCAAATAACCTGGTCCCAAGCCATGAAGGGCTTTAGAGGTGGCAACCAGCACCTTGAGTTGCACCCAGAAGCAAATTGGCAACCAATGCAGCTCCCACAGGAGAGGTAACACATGTGCATACCAAGGTCTGCACAAACCCACTTTAAAATGTTGGTCAATGTTAGTCATATTGTCCGATCCTTTGAAGATAAGAGATTAGTTGAATTGCTTCAGGGCAGTATACTTTCCCACATAAAATAAATCACATTCTCCATAGAATATGTATATTAATGTGAAACAATGATTTGCTGATCAATGAGTAGGAGGATAACAATTAAATGTAAAAGTTTATTCAACAACAATTGTTTGATTTGTTCTGCAGGATCTCATACTAAAATGAGACAATTACAGAACTTCTAAACATATACAATAAACATTCCTCATTATATACTTTTTCTTGACGTGTTTTTGCACATACTGAGTCCTTTTTGTTCCTTATTTGGCCTTTTAAAACACTGATTGCTCACTTCTCTATACTAGAACATCTTGGCTTGCATACTGATGTATTATTTATTTTCTTGTGCATGACCTTTAGAAATAACCAGACAACCCATGCCTCATTGGATTATCATTTCAGAGATATTTCCTTACATAAATAAAGAAATAGAATGACCAAGATGAGCAAATAATTAAGCAGTGGAAGTTCCTTCCTTCCTTCTTTTCCTTCCTTCCCCATTCCCTCCTCCCCTTTCCCTTCCCAGCAGGCAGCTAAAGGACTGCTGCTGGTGGAAGAGCAAGGGATTATAAGATTTGCTGGAAAACTGTCACAGAACGTGGAAAATAAAGATCATGTGCAGCAGCCAAGTAGAGCAACAACAGCCACTAGTAATAAAGCAGCTATAACTTCCCCAAATTTAATTCTTTCATGAATCTGGGTTCCATATTTCTGACACATTCTATAAGGTAGTCCATTTGAGGTACCTTGATTCAAAAATTGTTTCCTATGAAGTACAATTTCGCTCAGTTAAAAGTCATGATGAGAATTTTAGTAAAGGGCATCTTGTTTGATCCCACAATATACTTGGAAAGTTTAATTACATTATATTAAACAAAGTTTATAATACTAGAAAAAGTACCAATTTGTTACAATGTTTATACAGCATAATTGTTAAATATTTTAACATTTCAGTAATTATTCAATAATTACTTTAATCTGTTAGCAGACTCAGAATCACAGCTAGCAAGAGAAAGTGAAGATGATGAGGAGAGTATACCTATAATTTTTCCTTGGGAGAAGCTTTCTCCATTTGAAAGACTTATCCTGGCAAGTAATGAAAATATTACTGGTTTAAACCATTTTTGGCATCTAGAAGGGCCGTACTTCTAACTGATTTGAAAGATATTTGACAGTTAATGATATTGGCATACAAATTCAGAAACTGTATTGTATTGGAGTGGCCAAACATTTTTGCTTGGGACTACTAGACTGTCATCTCTTGCTGTTTCTGAGGACTGTGAGGGCATGATTTTGACATTTCAAGTGTGGGAAAGGATGGTTTTTTCAGATCTTTTGTTACTTTTTCTCATGATTGAAAAGAGGGATAAGGGAGGGGCAAAAATCATGTATTTGTGTTTTTCCACAGAAAAGCAAGACCCAGAACTAAACATCACATCACTTGGTAAAATCTGATTTTTGTAAAACAAGATGTTATCATTATCACTTTTATTTTGCTAGATAAAAGTTCTACGTGCAGAAATGTTGAACCATGCAGTACAAATATTTGTAACTGAAAAATTAGGAACTAGGTATCTTCAGACTGGAGGAATTAATTTAAAAGGAATGTATGAAGAATCTGATTCTACAACTCCACTAATTCTCATCCATACTCATGGTGAGCATTTTATAGAGTGTATATGCATCTCTGTGTATAGCATATGTGTATATATGTATTAGTTTATAAATTATTTTTTATATTTACTGTATATCAATGCAAACAATACATTGATCATCTAAAACTACTTATTACTGACAAGATTAGCACATCCTGATTGCTTCCACTCATCTTATCCAATCCAGCAGAAGAGGCATGCTGTGGGTAGTGTCCACCTTTGTATAATATCATCCCTCCAGAGATTAGGTTAGGTCTCAATTGTATATTACTTTAAAATTCTCCATATCAATACAGGGAGTTCTTGACTTTTGACCACAATTGCACCCCAAATTTTTGTTGTTAAGTGAGACATTTGTTAAGTGGGTTTTGCCCCATTTTACGACCTTTTTTGCCTCGTTAAGTGAATCATTGCAGTTGATAAGTTAGTAAGCTGGTTATTAAGTGAATCTGGCTTCCCCATTGCTTTGCTTGTCAGAAGATCGCAAAAGGTGATCACATGACCCCCTGGGACACTGCAACTGTCATAAATACGAACCAGTTTGCCAAGCATCTGAATTTTGATCACATGACCATGGGAATGCTACAAAGGTCATAACTATGAAAAATGGTCATGTCACTTTTTTCAGTGCCATTGTAACTTTGAACACTAAATGAACTGTTGTAAGTCAAGGACTACCTGTATGTATATTTGAATCTAGAATTTTCCATCAAATCCACTAAATATAAAACATCCCTTCATTTTTTCACATTTCCAACATGTATATTATAACCATATGGAAAATTTGTATTGCTGCTTACTATCTCACAGAGACTCAAGCCACTTACAGGAAATAAAAGCACAATATAAAAGAAATAAAAATAATAAAATAATAACCCCCCCCCACCCCAAGTAACAAGCTTGTATATAGCTTCTTACTTAGTCTTTTCTATAATACACAGGGGGGAGAAGTAGGATGGTTTCCTAACCTGCAGCTGTAAATGTCATAGTGATCATCTTACATTCACCCCCTCCCTCATTCCTTGGCAAAAGCTCTTTTCAAAATCAATTAATCAAGAGATCATTACAGCATTGCAGAGGTGTAGTGAAATGGAAAAAAATATGGCATGTGTTGATACTCTTTCTTTCATAAAATTATGAAAGTGCAGGAATCCTGTTTTCCTTCCACAAAGTTTTCTTCCAACATAAAATACTATATTATATGTTTTCTCATTCTGTTACAAAAGATATGTGTATCATTTCACTGACACCATATGTCAGAATAACATTGTTCTAAGTAAATAAATGCATTTTCACATGAAATAATAAAATGATATTATTTTATATATTGTATAGGGATAGACATTACAGCAGTTGTCTTACGCTTTGCTCAAGAAATAAAAAAAAGTACACAAAATGTGCAAATGCTATCTCTGGGACGTGGCCAAGGCAGCAAAGCAGAGGAATTGATATATAAGGCACAAATACTAGATGAACAGTGGGCATTCCTTCAGAATTGCCATCTTGCAACTTCATTTATGCCGAGATTGTGCAAAATTGTTGATTCGTAAGCACTTTTTACAATTATTTGTATACGTGATTTATTCTCTGATGGTAAGGAACCAGAGTAGGCTAATTTTAATACTGTTCGGTTCTTGTTAGTCTCTCAGCTTGTTTTTTCCTGGAGACGTTTCATTATCAGACTAAGTAACATTATTATGTGAAAGAGTAGAATTTGCTGACTGTTTATATATAGTAACTTGCACGACTAGCCTTGGTGGGAACGTGACTCCCAGTTGAAACTGTGATTGAGCCTGTCCTTGTGTTGCAAGGTTAGGTTTTTAATCCTCTCTTTTGATTAGTGTTCATGGAAACAGGTGGTCGTAATTACAGTCCTTACGTTGTATGTTATAGGTGATTCCACTTCTTGCTGCTGCTGGGTCTTTTGGTTTGCGCAAAATGTTTTAGAGAGATTTGCCATCATTTCCTCTACTGATGAAGATATCCAAAACCAGTAGTGTTTTGTAATCTATAGAAAGGTTAATGCTCCTGCACATCAAAAACATCTCTGAAATAAGCAACACATTGCTACAACTATACAGCAACAACAAATCTCTTCTCTCCAAAATATCTTAGTAAAATAAAAGACCAATCCATGTTACTTAGCTTGGTAAGGAAACATCTGCAAGAAAACAACCAAGCTCACCGAGCACCAAGAATCCAACAGTCCAAACTTGAGCTACATGTATTCTCTTCTACTGCATTCTTAATGTGCATTATTTTTTTTTGCAAAAAATGGAATATTAGGCGAATCTTGCTAAAACCTGTTGCTGCACAAGAGGCCTTTATCTGAATGAGACAGTGCCAACCTGCATCTTTCTCAGTCACATCTTCACTTGTTGGCCATTTTGTATCCAATTTAAGGAAAGGATTGTGGTAGATAAACAAAAAGAGGATGATTCAAGAGTGGCTGACAATAAGAACAATCTCATTTTTTAGACATTTATTTATAACATCTTTCTGGAGTGCTATATTCTGCCAGAAATTACCTCATTCCAATGTCCTCTAAATTCCATTAGCATTCATTTTGATACTTTAAAGTGACCAATATAGCAATAATTTTGCTGCTGGGACCATAGACACCAACATTATTGCTGATAACCATAATACTCTTATAGTTTCTCCAGACAGTTTTATTACCTTGACCATATGATTATGTTAAGAAAACTAATGCCAGTTGCTTTTTGAGAATTGGCCCTAAAAGACTAGGTTTTAAGTATTAAACAACTGATTTTGAAATCCATCTGTACTGACTTGAAGATAAGTAGCAGAGAGATGTGCAATTGTGCATTTGTAAAAAAAAAACAAAAAAACAATCCATTTTGCTGTCAGCTGCACCATGAAAATTTCACCAGTGATGGGATTCAGCCGGTTCGCACCACTTTGGCAGAACCGGTAGCTAATTTTTTGTTGCCCATGCCCAGAATGGACTTCTGGAAGCAGCATCCACACAGAGAACCAGTTGTTCACATATTTGAATCCCACCACTGAATTTCACTCTGCAGATTTTAAGTAAATTATTTGAGAAATTTGCTTATCTGTTTAGGGACAATTGTGGTTATAATTACCTTTGAAAATGTACAAAATATCTTTTTCTTTTTAAAAAACAAAAATCTCCTGTGTCCTTGTAAACTCTGGAAAGGCCACCCCTAGCTTGCACCATTTTCCAAAATGAGCATGTAGGAGGAAGGCCGTTTTAGTCTATGCTAGAAAACTCATGACCCTGGTAGCAGCTTTTCTAATTAACCCATTTTATTAAAGACTTAAGCTTTCATGTACACTTCTTTAGATGTGTACAGTAGCTAGACTGATATAGGATTTAAATGGGGGGTGAAACAGGTGGGAAAGGACAGGAGGGGAAGACATAACTGATGCGGGTCTGTATCGATTATCCTGATAGATTGAAATGCTCTGATACTACTTTATCTTTATTTTAAGTTCTGATGTTGAAGTTGTGTCAATTAATTCTTTTGAGCAACGTTTGTCATACATAAAATCCAAAGTGGCATTGCTGGTAAATGATGACATGCATCACGTCAGAGAAAGAGCATGTGAAGGGTCCTCTGATCTAGTGTGTGTGTTTGTTGGGTTCTGTGATGATATTGTTTATATAGATAAGGGGGCAAAATAAACATTTGGTTCCATATTACTTGTTGCATATGCCCTTCAGGATTCTAGGTAGGATAAATGGGAAATGTTTGTCAAAAAAGTGCTCCTAATAGAAAGATCATGCATCTCAGGATGTGCTGCAAATAAACCATGGCCTCTATCAAGTGCTTCACACTCTGTTCTAAGTAAACAGGACATTTTGTTGTGAAATGATAAGGAATAGAAAAGCAAAAGCTGAGGCTTTCTTGCTCATTTTCACAAACAAGATCAGATTTCTTTCTGGGTAATAGTAAACCTAAAAGCTAAAATTCCTGCTGTCTTCTGTACTGCTATAGATACAGTAGAGAAGAAGCCCACATCTGAACTCAGCAGATTCTGTGGCAAAATCTTTTAATAGCTTTAAATAATAACTTATAAAGAGACAATGAAATATCTATGCCTAGATGTATTAATGTGGGACAGCATTAACATTAACATTATTTGTCTATGGAGATTCTCAGTCATCAAGGTCATGGTTGTCCCAAAGGTGCTTTTCAGAAGGCAATTGGACTTCCTTGGTTTTTTCCTTGAAGATATTTTGATTCTCATCTAAGAAGCTTCTTCAGTTCTGACTGAATGGTGGGGAATGGAAGGATTCATATTTTTTTTCCTTGCAGTCATCTAGTCACTAGCATTCTGAAGGTCAGTCACTGAAGCAATTTGAGCATTTTTCTGTACCCCAGGGTCAACTGAATCAGAGTGCAAATGGATGTGGAACCTTGTTGGAATTTTCAGCAATTCCAAGAAGGCTCCAACCCATATGCACTTGATTCAGGTGACCCTGGGGTTACAGATAAACCCCCAAGTGGCCTCAACAATTGACCTTCAGAGTACTAATAATCAGATAACTGCAAAGAAAAAAATATGAATCCTTTCATTCCCTAAACTGAACTGAAGAAGCTGTTTAGATGAGAAGGAAACTTCTTCAAAGAAAAAAACAAAGTCCAGTTGCCTTTTGAAAAGCACTTTTAAGGTTAACATAATTTCTTGTTATTTTTATGCATTTTTTGTAAAGTAGAATTGATGAATGGGTACTGTAATGTTGTATCATGTTTTAAGTAGTAAAATTGTTATAAAAATGATTACTTCCATAGCTTTATCCTACCTGATGCAAATATAAACCCAGGATTTAGATTATGGTTAAGTTCAACACCAGATACTTCTTTACCCATACCTATCTTGAGAAGAGGGCTAAAGGTAAGAGATATTATTCAATAGTTCTTATAATTACTAATTCAGAGCATTGTTTTTTCCAAAGAAAAAAAATAAGCTAATATTAGTTGAGCAATGGTAAATAAGTTAACTGTTAATGAAAAAGTACAGTTACATACAGAATAATGTATATAACCAAACATTGCAGACTCCTGTTGCTTTAAAAGAAAACTGGATGTTTCTGCTGGCCCAAAATTGCATCCAGGTGGAGGAAAATAAATTGACTTTAGCAAACCTGATGTAGAAAGCAAGTAAGGTGACTTTGTCAGACATATGAAGGAACTATTGCCAAGGCTAAGGGGAGTGAAGTCCAAAAGAGACAGCATTCAAAAGCATCTCAGGCACACACCTCTCTAATTCACTGAACTATAAGAAAAAGGAGATACAAGACAACTGGATTTAAATTTGTTTTTGCTATTATAGACAAGCTCAATAACAGTTGTTTGTGTGTTTGTTTTATTGTTAAATTTACTGCAGAATATTTACTTATAATCTGTTTGTTTCCCCAAGATAGTAATAGAAACTCCGCAAGGACTAAAAGGAACATTACTTCAAACTTTTGGATTTGGTGACACTGGTGTAGTAACAGAAGCTACATTTAATAAGACCAACTGTGGGCCATCATGGAAAAGATTGTTGTTTAGCCTATGTTTCTTTAATGCTGTCATTCATGAAAGAAAGAAATACGGAGTTTTGGGCTGGAACATTCCATATGCATTTAATTCTTCAGATTTAGAGGCAAGAGAAAATGTCATATACAATTATATTTGCAAATTAAAATGTATTTTTGCTGAACTATGGGTCATCTTTCAGCAATGGCTGGAAACTCATCAGAGAGAGAAGCAATCTGGAATTAAGGAGAAAGTTCCTAACAGTGAGGACAATTAACCAGTGGAACATCTTGCCTTCAGAAATCGTGGGTGCTCCATCACTGAAGGTTTTTAAGAAGAGACTGGACAGTCACTTCTCTGAAATGGTATAGGTTCTCCTGCTTGAGCGGGGGGGCTAGACTAGAAGACCTCCAAAGTCCCTTCCAGATTCTATTCTATTCTGTTCTGTTCTGTTCTATTCTATTTTCTTATGTCAGCTAGTATTTCCAGCCTTGTTATTGTCTAACTTGTTTAAAGCAGTTAATGGCAATTTCCAAAAGTTTAGGAAAGGAGTTATAAAATTAGTGTCCTTTAAAAGTTCTGTGTCTGGAATAAGTATGGCAATTTCCCTCATCCCCTGGTTCTCTCCCCTCTGGAGACCACTGCCTGGCAGTCGCCTCATGTGGAGCAACCATATGGAGTACAATATGGGCAATATCTCATCCTCTCATTTTCTAGAGAGGGTCAAAGGAGCCAATCTATTCATTGGCACCTTGTTCTTAGCCACAATTGTCAGTTCTACTTTTTGTGGAGCGGTCTTCAGTCCATTATTTCTTCCCCAGAAGTCTCCTAACATAAAATAAAATCAAGTTACTCTAGCATGATATAAATTCAGTATAAATTCATTCATTTATTTATTTATTTATTAAATTTATATACCGCCCTATCTCCCTTGCGGGACTCAGGGCGGTGAACAGGCGATACTAAAAACCACGGAATAAATAGTTTGTTTTAAAATCGAATTAAATAACGGGCCTGTTCTAAAAACACACCTGTAAAAAAACCCCCACTGAAACATAATCAAGCTACGCCAGGCCGGCCGCACGGAATAGATGGGCCTTCAGGGCTCGGCGAAAAAGGCGCAGGTCCGCAACTGTACGTAGGTCGGGGGGTAGGTCATTCCAGAGGGCAGGAGCTGCCACAGAGAAGGCTCTCCCCCTGGGGGTCACCAGCCGGCATTGTCTGGCCAACGGCACTCTAAGGAGGCCCTCTCTGTGGGGAGCGGACTGGCCGAAGGGAGGTGTTTGGTAGGAGGCGGTCTTGCAAATACCTAGGTCCATTGCCATGGAGCGCTTTAAAAGTTGTTACTAACACCTTGAAGCGCACCCGGAAGGCCACCGGCAGCCAGTGCAGCTTTTTTTAATTAATGAATTCTTTTACCTAATGCCCTCAGACATGCCATTATTATCTGCCCTTTTATATATAAGAAGTCTAATTTAGCAGAAATGGCAAAAATTTCTGCTTATTTGAAGGATCAATCTCAAGGAAAATATATTTTGGTTTGGAGAAGATGGATTGATTATATTCAGAAAAAATACAAGATTGAAAAGTATTACTTAGCTTATGAGTAAATTTTAGAATATTATTAATAGTTTATTATGGATGAATTTATATTATTTTTAGTAATAATGTTTACTTATATTATTATTTTGCTGGAAAAGTGTTAAGATCTATCTGTTTTGTAGAGTTAAAGTATGTATGGATGAGACTTGATTGTAGTATATCTGGGTAATGTTATTTAATTTATGATTCTGTTTTTATAACCCTGTAACCAGCTCTGGGAAGTGAAGGGGGGAGGGGGGGAAAGTGGGATATTGTATGGAAAATTATTTAAAACTTTTAATTAAAACAAAAAAAAGAAGAAATCTAAACGTCCAGCAATGCTTAAGACATTTTGATTTTTTTTCTTTCTAAATATCACACTTTTATTTCTAATTATTAATTGGTTTGGAAATATTACTAAGTTTCAAAAATGATTCCTCAGAGTATCAGTGAAAGTTCTGTGCATGAGCCTCATGAATCCAATTATTCAACTAATTATAGATTCTTTGAATTCCAGACCAGATTTTAAAAAAAACCTATTTTCTAATGGTAACTTTTCTTTTCCAGTTTTCTATCAAAATATTGGAAGTGCTCCTTGAGAAGCATCAAAAGATTCCTTGGACAGCATTGCATTATTTGACTGGAGAAGTAACATATGGAGGCCATGTAACTGATAACTGGGATCGTCGATGCTTGCTTTGCATTTTAGATAATTTTTATAATCCTTCTGTATTGGAAGAAGATTTTGTTTATACTGCTGATGAGGTATGAGAACTATTCTTCATTATGTTTCTGTTTTAATATCACAAATTTACAACTGAGTGAGCAGGGTAGGTTTACTCAATAAATCTGATCAGTTTTAAATGCTAATTTGAAGTGAAGAAGCGGAAAGATGGTTGTATTAATAAAATAATATAGGCAAACTAAATGGCCAGAGACATTAAAGCATTTAACAATATTTTTTTCAGGTGTATCAACCAATATCTGAATTAGATAGTTTAAAAGACTGCAGAGCCTATCTACAATCTCTTCCAGAAGTGGATTATCCGGAACTTTTTGGAATGCATCATTGTGCTGAAAGACAATACTTAAAAGCTCAGGCAGAATTATTTATTAATTCAGTTGTCAGTACCCAACCAACATATAGCACAGACATTATCAGGTTATTATTTGAAGTCTACTCCTCCTCCTCCTCCTCCTCCTCCTCCTCCTCCTGCTGCAATACAACATAAGCTGAAACAAATAATAGTTGCTTAAAGCCTAAAGTATCAATATGTATGTATATATGTATGTATGTGTCAAGGGACATATGGAAACTTTTATTGAACTTTTTTGAGCCTTGGGAACTACCTGCTTTTCTCTACTGTACTGTGGGGAATAAATATTTGTTTTCCAGCTGCTTACAGCAATGGGAAAATACCACATTAAATAAGCTTGCTGGCAGGAGAGAAAACAATTTCTGTTATGGGTAAAACAAATAGAACCAGTAACTTCAGCACTCCGTGATGTGCCACAGAATCATTGAAATGGTGAAAAGTTCTCTTTCTTCCAATGACTTTTTGGACAATGGACAAAATGCATATATAGGGATTTTTTTAGGTATAATCTCATCAAATGTAAACGTTAAAGATTATGTGCTGGTATTTGTAAATAAGTATGTGTGCATGAAAGAGGGGGGAGAGAGACAGAATGCCCATATGTTGGCCATCAGTTAAATGTGATGGTTTGCATTTGATTATATACATCAAAGTATCAAAGACTGTATTTTCATTCAAAGCAGTTGGGTTGTCTTCATTCAAAATGTTAACAATCCCCAAATTGTGGCTATGTGCTGTGACATATTTACCAAGTAAACAAATCCAGAAAGAAGTCTATCAACATCATTTTAACAGAAAAAATGGTGAGGAATAAATGAAAAACAGATAGTCCTTGAGTTATGACCATAATTGAACCCAACATTTCTGTTGTTAAGAGAGAGATTTGTTGAGTATTGCCCCATTTTACAACCTTTCTTGCCACAGTTGTTAAGTGAATCACTGCAGTTGATAAGTTAGTAGCCTGGTTGTTAAGTGAATCTAGCTTCCCCATTAACTTTGTTTGTCAGAAGGTCACAAAAGGTGATCACATGACCTTAGGACACAGCAATGGTTATAAATATGAACCAGTTGCCAAGCATCTGAATTTTGATCACATCATCATGGGGATGCTGCAAAGGTCGTAACTGTGAAAAACGATCATAAGTAACATTTTTGTGCCGTTGTAGCTTGGAATGGTCACTAAACAAACTGTTGTAAGTTGAGGACTACCTGTATAAATAGTGGGATATTAACTTGGTTATTTCCCATAGATAATTTTAAATCTACTTTTCATCTTCCTATTGTCTTAGTGATAGAATGGGCCAGGATGAAATAGTACTGGAAATAGCATCCGATATTCTAATAAGGCTACCATTGACTGTAGAGAATATGGAAAGGGCATCTAACAACGAATATGTGTCTACAGAAATTATAACCCTTAGAAGTTTCATGTCTGGACCAATTTGGGCTGCACTTGCGAAAGCTACAGAAGGTCAGAACTTCATTTCATAGAATTTTCATATTATGTTATCATTTGTTTATATATAGAGAAAATGATATCTATGCATATACACTTACATATTATTATATAGTAGTTGTACATTTGTACGCAAAGAGAGACACACACAATTTGTGTTCGTGCATGCATGCGTGTGTATGTATAATTACTAGCCTAAATCAATCCATTGCAGGGGTCCTCAACCTTGGCCACTTTAAGACTTGTGGACTTCAACTCCCAGAATTCCTCAGCCAGCAAAGCTGAGAGTTGAAGTCCACAAGTCTTAAAGTGGCCAAGGTTGAGGACCCCTGCATTACAGGATAAAAGCTTTTTTTGTTGAAGGTTCTAGATCACAAACTACTTTTCAGGCCAGCCACAATACAGGTTGTTAAATATATACCCACACTAGATAGCATGCAGTTCACAACCTTCAATAAAGGTTTGTGACCTTCAATAAAGAGGTTTTCATTCTACAATGGCTTATTTGAGCAGTTAATGGTAAATAGACAAATATGTCTATGTGTGTGTGTTTGCACATCTGTGTGCTTGTATGTTATTAACAATTATTGCAATAATGAGGAATAAAATAAATAGTAATTAAAATGTAAAACTTTGTGAAGCATTATGCATACAGTGGGGAACTTATAATTCTCTGCATCTTTCACCTTTTCCTAAATTGATTGATTATGATGTAAAGATTTAAAGGCATGAGAGTTATTTCTCCTAACTGATAAAATGAAGAGCAATTACTAAAACAATGACCAGATATATTATCCTGCATCCCCAGAAGAAGCGAGTATATTCAAAAGGCAGGAGAAAATGGGTAATTTTGCTACCATATATTGCCTACCTACTATACAGATTATTCTTATTTGAAAGTAGCATACTTGCTGGAATTTCTACAGTGTAACCTTAGCCTCGTTAACCAGTTCTCTCTCTCTCTCTTCTTTCACAATAGATTTTTATTCTATTACCAGTTCACCTTTGCTACCTGTTTTGCGCCAGGAGATTGACCATTGTAATAATTTACTATACTTAATAATTCAGTCATTACAAGAACTTCAGCAAGGAATCAAAGGAAAAATTATCTTCACTAAAAGATTAGAAGAACTTTATAATTCAATATTGAAAGGCAGAGTAGCTGATTTGTGGGAGGTGTGTGAACAATCTCTTATTTTACTTTTGCTAAATAATAATAATAATGGATTTGATAGCTGGACAGAAATGCAATCTAAATATCTGGCTGACTGGGTGACAAACCATAGTAATTTATTAAACTTGTATGCTGCCTGACTCTCAATGATTTTAAGACAATCAAACCAAGGAATTTCAATAAAATCAATAAAACATAAAGGATAAAACTAAAATATAGCATGGATAATGAAGCATAGAAATACAAATGGAATTACAAAATTACAAATACAAAACATGTTTATGTTTTCTGGTTGTTTGGAGTAAATAGATTTGCATTTTTATGCTTCAAATAAGTATATATATATATATACTTACATATATACTTATATACACACACATACATATATGTGTGTATATTAGACTTCTTATCTTTCTGTTTATGTGAAATTAATTCTATAGAATATTTTTTTCTATAACAATAGCTAATAATTAGTTTTAAGAAAATTCTACTCCAAAAATGCACACGGAATCTAGTAAATTATATATAATTGCTGTGGATATATTACTGTAGATCAAAAAAATAATGTATATGCTGAAATATTCATGTACATATTTGAATTATAATTTATTCATGATAAGAAAGTTATAAACCAGGGGTGTCAAACTGCTGGCCCGCGGGCCGGTTTCATCATACCGGAGCCATGCCCACCCCATTGCCGGCAATGGCGAAAAAGCTCTGATATGTCGCGCGACGTCACGTGATATCGCGAGTTTGACATGCCTGTTATAAACTATTGGGGGATCTTGAGTTGGATCCAGTAGCAAACTGGCAACCACTTCAACTTCCAAAGTTAATTTTCAGTTAGAGCTCAATAGACTGTTATGTTCAGTTGTTTTATCATGGCTGCCATTTATATATTTTATTTTTGTTGTTGGTTGTATTTTTAATTTTCCAATAGCTACCTAGAGAAACAATGGTGAGATGGATGGCCATATAAAATGAATGATGAAATAAAATAAAGAATTTTCCTAAAAATTATTCTAATTCATAGAGTCTCCCTGTGCTCAGTTTAATAGGAGTATCAACCATAAATTAATGATGTCATCTGATTCAATGATGTCTGTTTGTTATTGAAGTAGAATAATTTGCTATTGATGCTCTACGTCATGTTTGCATATTAATGTACTTTTTGAAAAAAACGCAAGTACACTTTATCTTTTGCTCCATTCTTTTGTAAATCTGTGCAGCAAAGTTCTTTTAAGACAAATAAACCTTTAGGATCCTGGATTGATGATCTCATTATACAAGTGAATTTCTTTGCCATGTGGGCTGATCGAATTATCACCTTTATGCAAGCAAGGTAATATAAACAACAATATAAACTCAACTTTGGGTGTCAGTGTTAAAGGCATTATAGTTACTTAAAATGAGGACGATTTTCTTCCCCCCAAAATTCATTACTTTGAAATGGATGGGATAGTCATATACAAATAGACAGAAAGAATTGGTGAAAGGAAAAAAATCTAATGACTATTTCAAAAGGAGGTATTTCAGCTTCTCCACAATGAAAGTGAGGGAGTCCAAGGATGCCGAATCTCATTTTCTATTATTTTGAATTCTCACTCCAAGTGAAACAGAAGCAACTTCTCCTCCTGCACTCCTAACATTGCGGGTCATTTCCCTTTCCCTGTATATTTACTGTACACACTTTGCATTAGCTTCTTAGGTGCCATGGAGTCAGGTTCACCCCTGATGGCTGTATGGACAAATGCTCATCATTGGGGGAAAGAGTTTAAAAAAACAATCACATAGAATCTGGATTGTAAAGGGCTATTTAGATCATCAAGAATAAACCCCACTCAGTCCAAGAAAGGAAATTAAACCGTCATAGACATCTGCTTCAATACTGTACATTTACATCCTAAATAAAGATATTTTTCTTCAATCAATCAATCAATCAATCAATCAGAATAGCATTGGAAGTTCTGAATTCTTGTTCTAAGTTATTCTGAATTCTATTTAAGTTCTTGAATTCTTTTATTTAAGTACCAGTCTTCAGGATTCTTTCTGCAAATACAATTCTTATTTTATATATTCTTTACCACTGTGTAAAATTGCCTGATAACGTGAAGGCAAATGATATATACTCTAAGTTATAGTATTATGTATCTTTTCTGTTGGACTTTCCTATTTAAGTTAAAATCAGCATGACATAGTATTTGTTAAACTACTTCTATGATTTTTGCCTCAGGCAAATCAGTAACTTTATTGGGGAGGTGAAAATACTAAAAAAAAAAAAAAGAGTCTACAGAATCCATAAACTTTTGTTGCATGCTTTCACATATATTTCTCCTCTTTAAAAAACTATCTCGGCTGATTTTCAGTCATGGAGAGGGTTATTCCTTTGTTTTCTTCAAGGTAGAAGGGCATCTTGCCTTTTAAATGGAAGCTATATTTCAAAAATAACAAAATGCATAGTAACTTCTTTTCTTTTCCAGTTACTTTGTTTCTTGATGTTATTGTTGCACTGTTCTCTCTCTGCCTCTTCCTTCCCAGTGCAGCACATCATTACCATCCTATTTTTTTTCTTTTTCTTTGTTCTTTTTGATGGAAGAAAAGAAACAAAGTTTATGAACTTTTATGTAAGAGAGGGTGGTTTTTGTGTGTATATACAGAATGAGGGAACAATGAATTTAACACAGCGAATGGCCTGTTTTATAGATAATTAATTTTAATCATTAGTATTTTTTTCTGTACCTGCCTTTTATTGAATTGTGATTCTAGCCAGTGCCCATACACATACATATGTCTTATGCACACATTTATTATGGGAAAGTTTCAGCTAGAGTTAAAAGCTCTGTGTTGATGAGATCAGAAAGCTGATTGTTGTTGTTTTAACCATTCAGTCATGTTTGAGTCTTGGTGACTTTATAGGCAAGTGCTCTCCATGCTACCCTGTCAAACAATTTCTTTCAGTTGTTGGATGTTCATCTTTGTATCAGATTTGATATTATCAAGCCACCATGTTCTTTGCTTGCCCCTTCTTGTTCCACTAACTATTTCTGGCATCATTGATTTTTCCAATGAATCTGGGTGCCTGTCATGGCCAAAGTAAATAGATGTAGTCTTATGATTTTAGCTTCTAGTGATGCGTCTGGTTTAGCACATCTCTGTTAGTTACTCTGGATATCTATGGTATATGCAATAATTTACACCAGCACCACAGTTCAAAGGTGTCAATTCTTTAATCGGATATTTTTAGTGTCCAACTCTTCCACCCTTATATTATTATAGGGGAGATTATTGCTCTAACTAGCTTTCTTTTTGCATTTATATCTGTATCTCTGCTTTTCTAGACCTTATTCATGTTAACCATTGCAGTGCAGCCTAAAGGTATCCTGTGTTTGATTTCAGGAATAGAACTGTTAAGCTGGTAGTAAAATGTTATACAAAAATTGGCATTTGCAAAATGAATTTTCTATTCACGTCTATTAGAATGTTCTATAAATTGGGTGGCATTCTCAGGCATTGAAATCCTGCCCTTAATATGATAGAACCGTAGATATTATCTTGATTACAGCAGCAGATTTTCTACCTTGTCCAAGGCACAAGTGCCAATCTATAAGTCATGGCATTCTTTAAAAGCTGGTTGCAAGTTGTGTCATTTTAATCATTCCTTTTTCTCTAGTAATCAGCTTACCATTTTGGATGTTAAAATCCATGGATACATATAATATACTGTATATGTATGCTTTTAAATTGATTATATTAATTTTGCATTTAATTTTATAATTGGTTTCCATTTATTTAGTAGAACTCAATGAATGCATGCCACATATAATAAGAAAATTGATTCAGAGAATTGGGGGTTTTTAATGATAGGCAGGTCATCACTTGAATCTTTACTTTCTTCATCTGGGATTTAATCTCTCTCTCTCTTCCTCCCTCCCTCCCTCCCTCTCTTTTGCACACACAAACACAAATATGCACACACCAGAAACCAGCCTCACTCCTTTCAGCCATTACAGCGAGAGGTGGGATGATCTCTGTGCAATGAAAATCCTAACAGTTGGACTGGAGGTTTTCTGAGCCTTCCAGTCCAGGCTTTGAGATTATGAGCCACTTTGCAATGTAGGAATCAGTTGCATGTTGGTCTAGTTAAATGAGAAGGTCAATTTCTGAGAAACTGAAAACTCCATTGTCTCCCTAAAGAGCCCAAAATTGCGAGAAGAAATTATTACAGTTGAATTGTATCAAAATTACTGGATTATTTGATTACTACTTAGAGACATATAATAATACACTAATTTCAGTTAGCTACTGAGAAATGTAATATTCGTAAACTTACTAATGTTTTGAACAGGTTTAATGATTTACTGGTGCTTCAGAGACAAAGCAAAATACCACTTCATCCTGGTGAATATCCTGACTTTCATGCCAGTTATCAAGGACATCCTAGCTATTTTTGGCTTCCAGGTTTCTTTTTTCCACATGGTACATAATTTTGTTATTTATTTTATTCATAGACATTTATCCATTATCTATTTTAATTTTCACTAATTAAAATAGTTTGTAGTGCTATAGCTTTTATATTACAAGTAGTCCTTGCCTAGTGACTACTCATTCAATATCTGTTCAAAGTTACAACAATGCTGAAAAAAGGAGACTTACAAAAAGTCCTTGAAGTTGCAGCTGCTGCAATGTCCCTCCAGCCATGTAGCAACTGACATGCAATTACAACGTTCATAGCATTTCACAATGATGTAATCATCACTTGTAACTGTAACTGAGGCTTTGGACAAGCAAAGTCAATGGGAAGCTGGCAGGAATGTAATGAAATACAAGTTGCCTTCACATGACATCATGCTTAATGACCACAACCAGAACTGCTGGAACTGCCTTCATAAGTTGGCCTGGTGACATGGTTTTTCACTTTTTTCACTTAGTAAATGAATGGTCAGTCTCAATTATGGTCAGTAACTGAAGACTACTTGTATTTCATTACATTATAAAGAATATCTAGTGTCTAGATAGTCTAGAGAATCCATTGAAAATTTTTCAGTTTAACTATGAGAAATACAGTATATTGTTTTCAAGTGTATTAGTGTGCTTAGAGGTTTATAAATTATGTCCTATGATAGATACAGTATATAGAATGTTCCAACTGAATTAATATAGATGTAGAGTTAGGATTTGCCTCTGATGCTCATATGATATAATCTGGGTTACAATATGATATATCCCAGATAATGCTGATATTACTGCTTCTCTTTTTCCATTTTTTTTCTTGATCTCCCTCACTTCCACTTCAGTTTTTCTCGACTACATACCTTCTGCAGATGTGTTCTGAAGTGGGGAGGCTATCATTAAAGATGAGGGAAATCTTGTGTACTTTATAATTCTCTGTATTAATAATTTGATGAGTAACTGAACAAAAAATTACATTTTGTTTATTTATATTTCATATTTCTTAACCACTCATCTTGTACATCAAATAACAAATTTATTCACTCTTTGCAAAGAATAAAATAATCTGCACATAATTAAAGAGTAAATTTAATTAACTTTTTAAGAGTGGTAACAAATAAAGTGCACTTTCTGTGTATTTTGTTCTTGAAGGATTTCTTATTGCTGTGTGTCAGAATTATGCTCGGTTGAATAAAGTAACAGTGGATTCGCTTAGTTTTACACATAAAGTTCTTCCATTAACTCAAGATGAAGAGTTAAGTTTCAATAGAAAAGAAAATATATTAAACAAAGCCTTTAAGGTAAGAATGTGATTAAACCCAGTTTAAATAGGACTTTGGTGATTTTATTTCTTAGTTTCATCTTCATCTTACATTTTCTATTTCCTACCATGGGATGAATGGCTTTCCAAAGTTTATTATAAGTTGTAGTTTGGGATTATCATAATTTTGTACTTGTGTCCAGGCATCCCATATAGTTTGTTAAGTCTTGAAAGGTGGTGCTATCCAGATTATTTTCTCCATGTGCTGTAACGCATTTCCTCTTTGTAAGTAGAGTTTTTATAAGATATCACTTTGCCTGGAGACAAGGAGGCTAACATTTAAATTTCCTTTTCCGTGGGAAGCAATTTTCAACAGATGACCAAACTCATGCTCTGCCTTTCTCCATGAAGGAAGTTCACTTTTCAAAAGAGCAAAGCTTCTACTTCCCAGCTGAGCATGACCTTTGTTCTGGTTTAACAGTTGAAGATATGGAATATTTTTTGATATGTAGTCAAAATTCAGGTATCCATACAACCATCATGTATGGTAGTTGTATATATGCCTAAATTTTGGCTACATATCAAAAGTGTATATAAATGCTACAATTGAAAAACATCTGGAATATATTTATGAAATCATGTAGGAAGAAATCAGATAAAGATATTGCAATGAAAATTATAAGCAGGTAAGCTCAGATAGGAAACGGATTTAGCATACCATTTCTCTAAAGCAAATCATCTTTTTTATGAAGTAATATGATTTATCTTAAATGGGCTCTATGGCCTTTATTTACATATTTATTTATTTATTACTGGGATTTATATGACCACCTACTTAACACACAACTCTGTGGCATGCAATAGCTGCAGCAAGTAAATCCTCAAAAGGTTTAAGTTTCTCCAGGCTGGCTGTGCTGCAGGTCTCCTGTTTGCATCAGGTCATCTGTCCTGACCTTTTCAGTGGCAGCACCCACCCTTTGAAATGATTCCTCTCCCCACAGCCAGAATTTGATTGGTCCCAACTCTGCTAGCTTATTAAAATCCTGGCTTTTCCTTTGAGGATTTGGATCAGGATGTGTTTGATGACCAGAAGATGTGTTTTGTTTTTATTCTTTTTATTGTTGTTTTTATTTTAGCTGCCCGGGCTCACTCTGATGAGTTATGGAAGCCATACAAATTGGAAAAATAAATAAGCAAAGTGTTTTTGCATTTTTTTCCCTGCAATAAGATAAACAAGCCTGCAAAAGGGACAGATAGTCCTCAAGCAGCAAGTATCTTCCCCTCTGTGATGATCCAACAGCATCTAAAGTTAATATTTATGTGTGTCATTTCATCAGGGAAAGGGGAAAGTATCTATCCTAATTTTTCTGACATCATCTCCATGATGATGAGGAGGGAGGAGGGGACTGTGAAATGCTAAGATAGCATCTGTGAACATGTTCCCTTTTTTGCATCACTGCAGATGCCCCTGTAATTCCTGTGCAATGAGCTTAGTCATCTTCACTTTTAGCTCTCTGAAAAAGACAAGGCTTTATTTTTTTTTGTTAAATCTTCCACTCTTTTGGAGCAATCCACATCAATACTGAGTACAAATACCATCTATCTTTTAGGAAGATTCTCAATATGAAACTGGAGTTAAAATTTATGGCTTATACATAGATGGTGCATGCTGGAATCTCAGTACACAGGCATTGGATGAACCTGAACTTCATAGAAGATTTTATCCATTACCAGACATCCAATTTTTACCACAAAGTGTAAGTAGTATAGTTTCACTATCTTGGTAGGACATTTTTCTATTTTGATTACTCAGGTTCAAGAAAATGTTACAAGTTACTGCATTGTTATAATATAGCACATACTTGAATAAGTATGTTTTAAACAAGTGGGAATGTTGCTGTTTGGAATTATATTCAGCCAACTGCTTTCTCCTCTAAAATATTTCATTACTGTTTTTTTCTACCATCCTGTTTTCTTTACCTATAAACACTCAAATAACCTGACCAATTATGCTGCTTTGAGCTGTTTTGGAATTTTGCCCCTTTTGTTTTAATTAAAATGACATATTTTGCATAAATTATTTCCAACCACGCACGCCCTAGGATGTCATAGTTATCTTTGTTCAGTAGCACAAGTATATCTATATTTGAATTCTGGAATGAAGAGGTAAAAATGGCTTTGTGGTTATGGGATGTGGGGGCAAGGTAGAAGTCCTTCCCGGTATCCCTGGTGCTTATTATCTTATTCTTTTTTAGCCTGCAAATGCACTCTTATCTTTATTTTTTTTCTTACACTCTTAAAAGTATTGATTTGATTCAAAGGCTGAAGTAACCTCAGCATCAGGTTTTGCTGATATTTAAATTAATATAACAGTTGTTTTAAATTAATATAACAGTTGTTTTAAGTAGATTTAGAGGTAGCCCTATCTTTTTTTTCCTAAATTGTAAAATATCCTGGTATCAAGTATCTTCAATTCCTGAAGTAAATGCCTATTACCAGTATCTGTAAGATAGATTAGTGTAATCTTTTACAATATTTCTGTCACTATCCCAATGTTTTCTTGCTTAAGAATCATGCAAGAAATTGAAGGCTCTGATTCCTACATTTTTCACCTTCTTTAATTTTGACTTTGCTATGGTATCACCAATAAATGGAATTGTAAGTTGTCTTCTGTCAGATTAACTTTTGATTTCTTCCTAGCTTTCATTTCACTGGCCTGCTGTTACCAATTATTTTCTTTTTTTTTTAATTTCCTATATTTCATTCATTAATATCCTCATCATGAATATGTGGATATTATCACACATTAACTCTACTAAGCCTTCAGTTTTCAACTGTTAATCTCTGTTCCATTAACCAAGCACATCAAATACAAGTTAACTTGCCTTGGGGGAGGAGGGTTACCTCAACTGCTGCTCTCTTCTTTTACTGTCACCATAATATGGCTATGTAAAAATGTCTCAGCTTGAAACCTCAGCACCAGAGAAGCCTGTTTCCTAATTTACAGAAGCAATTTTATAAAAGCAAGGTTTTATGGGGGTGGTAGTGTTATTTGAAGCACCGAATTTATGATTTATTCAGGGACACCAAAATTAAATTTAGCTTTGACTAAGAAGGAAAGCTATAGGGGAACAGCTTCTTTTCCCATGAAAACAATGCCAAAGGGTGGGGGGAATGATAAGCAGCCTGAAAACATAATAATAACAGAACAGAATAGAATAGAACAGAATAACAGAGTTAGAAGGAACCTTGGAGGTCTTCTAGTCCAACCCCCTGCTCAGGCAGCAAACCCTATACCATTTCAGACAATGGTGTGAACAAATTCATCAAAGTCTAGGAGATTATCCACATCTACAATGGCTTCTGGATTTCTGGAGGGGACATTATTCCAGGTCAGGCCCTGCAATTTAAAAAAAAAGCACTCTTTCTGGGCCCTGTTGGATGACATTACTTCATTATTGGGACTTGTAACATCTCTATTCTGCCAAATGATAGATGGACAGAAGCAGCCAGAAACAGTGCTATCCCATAAAGAACTTTATAAATGATAAACAACATCTTGGATTGCTGAGCTTATCCATAACCACTGCATCTCATGGAACAGTGTAGTCACATAGGCATTTGGCACTATCCATGCTGCCATATTCTGAACTAGCTATAGCTTCTGAATAGTTTGGAGAGCAGTCTCATGTAGAGTACATGACAGACATCCATTGTGATATTACTAAGGTGTGAATGATTATTTGATTCCATGCTGTGTTGAACCTAGTATCAGTCGTAACTATATTTTTATGTTTTATATTATTCTGTGTTTTGGAAGAATTATACTTGGTATAAAGTTGCTTTTTAAAATATATTTGTGTTGGAGTATCAACTGATTTACAGGTTGTCCAAAGTTCTTGCAAAGACCTAAAATTTGAGCCCCAGCTCTCAATGAGAAATATGTATTTAAATTGTTCTTTTATTATAACAACACATGCTGGTCCCAGATTCTTTACTGGTTCTTAGGCATACAACTTATTTAATATGTAGAAATTGCACTTATTAATGTTTTAATTTAATTATTTTAGATAACCTTTTGGCCAAGTCACTGTGATGAAGAAGGCCGGCTCTTATATGAATGTCCTTTATACAAGACATCTCAAAGAACAGGAATGCTGTCTTCTACGGGTGCATCTATAAATTTTGTAACTGCAGTTAATCTGCCAAGTCTGGTAACTCCTAGCCACTGGATAATGAGAGGAGTTGCACTGTTATGCCAACTGGATGATTAAGAAAAAATATTATTGTCCCTTATTTGAAATGAATACTTCACTGTTTCAGTCTAGGATCAGATACAACCTAGTTTTAATTGTTTAATGTTTTAGATTAATAATAAAGTTGTTTCCCATGCAATATGTGCAAACTCAAATTTATATTATGGTTTTATTTTTTGCCTTTTTACCTTTAATCAATCATTATAGATTAATTACATGAGAATATGCAGTGATCAAAGATGGCACATGATAAACCTAGCCTCTGGATTATACATTGCCTCTGATAATGTGCCTAGAGGCCTCTCCTTTTGCACTCATGGGCTCTTAAATCCAGCTAGTTTTTGAAGTATTTTTTTTAAAACAATTACTGGCATTTTGTCTAGAAATTTTTATTTCTAAGAATCTTCTGCATCCCAAATAGGTTCAATAACCCCTGGTGGATCTGGATAGCGCCTGAAATAATGTAAAATTTAAGCAAGGTTAAAAGCAGGTGACAGATAACTCTCTGGTACATTCGTGCTTCCAAATTGATTTCCCATGACTACTATTTTAGTAAATGAATGGACAAGCTGCTAGGAATAATTTTATAACAGGACTTGTATGTTTTCAAAATTCCATATATTCCTGCAAATCCAAAAGTAGGATTGCTATCTTAATACATATAATTTTATAACTGTTCATATTAATCCTGTTTCAGCCTAATAAACCTTTTCTTTGGTATTTTTAAAATGTGTGCTTCAATTTCCAAAGTTCTCAGCACAGGTCCTGCTGGCTATAGATTCTAAATAGTTTAAGTCTGGGGGTTTAATTTTGGCTTAGCTAGTGTTATAATTTGTAAATCATGGTTTTGCCAAAGCACCACCATCACTTTAACTGAATCCATCCACCTTGCTGCTGGTGGTCTTTTTTCCTTCCGTCTTTCCCAGCATTAAAGCCTTCTCTAGAGAGTTAGAGCTTCACATATGTATCCAGAGTAGGACAATTTGAGCCTGGCCACTTGTACTTGAGGGAGAACTGTGGGTTGATTTTGATATCCATTGGTTTGTTCTTGGCTGTCCATTATATTCTCAGGAGTCTTCTCCAACACTGAGAGAAGAATGTCATTGCTTTTTCAAGTGATTCTAGGTAATCATCCCTTAAGTTATGTACTCACACTAGTTGATTTTTTTTCTCTCTCTTAATTCTGCAGGCTTGCAGTAACAGGATAATTGTATTGCTCCCAAGTGAGATATTGAGGAAAGCAAAACAACAGTAATTCCCATTGTAATGTCCTAGTCTAGCATGACTTATTTTTGGTAACTCATTATGGTTCCTGCCAAGCAGAAAAATTTCTAAAAGTTCACAAAAAGGAATCTAAAATATCCTTCTGTCTAGATTTCCCTGGCATTATAGATACCATCCATGATTTTATGAATATTGGAGTTCCAAGATAACTGCCAGATTTCTATTATTACCATCCTAACATAAATTTCTATAAGCAGATCCATCCAGGTTTTTTTTCTTTTTACTGCTATCTGCAAAAAGCCTTTTTCACACCTTTTGTAAACAGATATCTTTTTGTGCTATTGAAGAAGGAATGCAGCATTACAACTTCAGGAATGTTGAATGATATTGAATTATGCAATGAACCCTTTGACACTGAACAGTCAGCCAATAATTTTTATGACATTCAATTCTTACATTGGAGATCTTCTGAGATGGGAGAGCTAACACTGTAGGGAAGGTAGAAATCTGTTTTGCAAATTAGTTTAAACAGTTATTTTCTTAATGAGATGGTCGCAAGGCTATGCATGCAACCTTGTCTGTTATGCTCCTCAAGCTAATTTGACTCAACTAAGATTTGCCTTAATAAACAATTGTGGCTCCCTCAACCCATTACATCTTTTGAGATTTTCCAGTTTTTCATTTCAGATTTCAAAGCCAAATCCTGAGAAACTGAGACATTCCTACGGAATAGACTGCCCTTCCAAGATATGATACCTATCTTCTTTCGTGTTGACTTAAATTTTCTAGGAAAGAATACCACAATTTTAGCAGGCAGCCTTTTCTCCCTTATTAAGCAGTTTTATTACTTAAAATCATAATTTGAAATAGCTGAATGTTTTCAAATATTTGCAAATTGTAGTTTGGTCCATAGTTCATTTCACTAGAGAAATTTTAAAACTTTAAAGTTTGTAAGACCATAGTTTTCTTCGCCTATTTCTTAACGGAGAAAAGCATGGCCACTGGATTCTATGCCTTAAAAATGGGAGGCAAAAAATGAAGAGGTGGTGATCTTGGCAAAGTAGTTATTTCCTCCAAATGACCTACATCTCCCTTGAAAACTCTTCCTAATATCCCATCCTGATGCAACTCTTGAGAAGAATTGTTAGCTACTCCATCTCAAAAAAATGTCACTCCACAAGGCATATACCAAATTGTAGGCTTTAAATGGCATTCTGTGAAGTACATGTCACAGAAGTATGCAAGGGGAGGGCAAAAAATTAAGGGAAAGCAGTTATTTTTATTCACTTTAACTTGGCTAAAATTTCACATAAAAGAGACTACACTGTCCAATTCTTGAAAATGTAGAAATAGTCAGTTGGCTAAAAAAAATATCCAGGGTAATTCATTCCCTTGTGGATACTTCTAAATTGTGTACAAGCAATTTTTTTGCCAATGCAGTTGACAATCTAATTTGCTAAACAAAACAATGTATTTCTTCACTAAAGGAACTGGGGAGTATGTGTCAAGTCTAACTAAGAAGATTATAGATATCTATTTTTATCCACTTAAGATAAAGTAGGAAAGAGCACAGGGAACACATTCTTAATTGATTTCAATGAAGAGTATGAAAGGAGAATATCACTATCAAGCCAACATGAATATAACCAATCTTGACCATAATTTAATTTCTGTTGAAAGTATTTGATTAAAAAAGAACAGTAAACATCCATTTAATTAACAAATAAATATTAGAAGTCTGTCAAGAAAGGGATGCAAGATTCTTAGTAAATAATTCCTCCTGCACCAAACAATTTTTGGACTAATTTTTAATTATGCAAGTTATTTTTCATGAAGTGAAAGCTAAATACATTCTAGATGTAAAAGGAAAAATAATCATGACAAACTGATGTTTATTTTAATTGGAACTATATTCCTGGGGCAATGTATTTACCTTTAAAAGGCCTTCCTTCAAAAAGTTTGTGTAGAATACCTGAAAATCATGGACTGCCTATACTACCTATTGCTCATAGATAACCAGCCTTGTTAAAAGTGTTCAGGGCCACAGCCTTCATCAAACCTAGTCAATCTGGCCAACAGAAAGATGTAAAATGTAGTTCAAAAGTTTTGGAGAGTGTTTAGGGATGGGAGCATAATCATCACAGAATTAAAAATGCCATTATCATGTTTGGAATAGTTATTGCCCCCAAACTCCCTATTTAATTACTATAATCTAATTTTAAAATGATTTTGTTCAGAACTAAAACAGCCCTTATGAATATATAAGGAATAAAGATTACCAAATGCTACTCAAATGTGATAGGGTCATTCTATTTCAAAACTGGGCAAATGTTTAGGTTAAATAGACTGAATTCACATTTTTCATAAAGGCACACAATGTCCAGCAAAAGCTAGTAGATAGATAAAATATAGTAGAGGGAAGAGGAAGAAAAGAGATTCTGCTATATTGTATAATATTTCACAGTAATTATTGCTGCACAATATTTTGAAAGTAGTATAAGCTATATTAAAACTAAAAGCAAATGTTATAAGGAATATACTACATATACATATATACAAAATGTGTGTTTTACACAGATATTAAATGAGTACTTTTTCTACCTGCTATAAAATTATGAAATTCAAGGTTTGAAAAAATTATTTCAATACCTCTGCCTTCAAACTTTATATATTAAAATAGCAATTGTTCTGTCAATTACAGCCATTTCAATAATTACTATTGTTAAAGCTATGAATTAGTAAAACTCCATAGCTATAGTTAAAATATATGAATACAAAAATATAAAAAAATGCATTAGTGCATATATAGTTGATTTTAATTTCCACTTTTTATTAAAAAGCTAATTTAAAAAGCAATTTGAAGTACTGGCATATTTTCTATACGTAACAATATAAAAAGGCAAAATAACCTACTTTGAGGTAGTAATGCCAAGTTGTAAAATTTGAATAGTTTTCTTTTTTTTCATAATGCATCACCATATTTAAATGAAGTCATCAGCTCTTGAAATGTTTCACAATACAATACTTTACATTTTTTCAAAAATATGCAAATGGTTATAATTAAAAAAAAAATCAAACTTTGAAAAACAATTCCATTTTACAGCCAAATATTATAAAACAAACTCAATGTTATAAAGGAAAGCAACGGTTCATAGGAAAAAAATTCTTTTTTCAGTTTGTACAATATTTCACATCTTGCACTACTTTTTATTACCACTAAATAAAGCTCTAATGTTTTTTATTACTAATATTTTCAAACCTGAGACATTCCATGAGAGCTTATGGGACATTTTATATATCCCCTTACAACTGTACTGTGTACAATACTCAACTAAAAAATTCCACATGTATGTTGTTCAGAACTTAAATGGGAGCCTGTTTTTATATGGCAGAAGAGTCATATATTATAACTCTAAACTCTTATCTTTCTGCCTCAAGGGAATTAGGTCTGAGTGAGAACAAATATAATTAGGAAGCACAAACATACTAAAAGTCGCTTTCCACTGAATCTTAGTATGCTTTTAATTTTTTATAGATGTTTTTTGACCAAGGTATCCCTTGGTCTATGAGTGGCTAAAAATACAAAATAAAATTATAGAGAAAGAAAATGTTGGTAATTAAGTCCCAAATTTGGTTTTCTTTCTTACAGGACAGAAAATGAACATTACTCATCAGATAACCAGTTCATAAAGCATACAAATTACTTAATACTTTTCATGCACTATACAACTAGTTTACTGTTTCTTAATAAAAAAAATGTCACTTAAAATGGCAAGTGGTTAAAAAGGTATAAGGCTTCATCAATTAGATGGCTGGTAAAAAAAATGTGCAAATGCACTATCTAAATGTATTTTTTAGAACATCCA